AGGAGTAACAGGTCCGGGCATTCTCCAGGAAGCCAAGACCATGTGGAAATACTTAGATTAATAGAAATGGGTTAATAATTAAGACAGAGCTAACCAATAAGAATCCCTAGACACTGGCCAACAGTTTAATAATCAATATAGCCTCTCTGTGTGTTTATTTGGGGCTCGAGGGTGGCAGGACCTGGAGGGACAAGAAAAACCGCCAGCAGCACGTGTGTTTGGGATTTGCACTCAGGCAAGCACGACACGGACTGAGCCATCTCCCTATCACCTCCCCCTCGAATTTGGGGTTTCTGTAAGAATAATTTCTTCCTAACCCTTCTGGTAGACGGCACAGCATCCTGACTCCGCCTCCTTCCCTCTGTACATCGGTTCAGAGCTGGGAATCCTGGCTCAGGTAGGGTCAGTCGGTCCCTTCTCCAGGAGTTTTGCATCTGGAAGTGAAAAAGTCAGACACGGAAAGTCATAGCAGAGGGTTCTCTGTTTCCGTCAGGTCTGCCAGGAGCACAGGGAGCAAAGAGCAGAGATCTGTGGCACAGCTGCAGAGACAAGGGACAAGCAGAATTGGAATTCAGTCCCAACAAGGGACAAGCAGAATTGGAATTCAGTCCCAATGAGGACCAGCAGTTGCGTTCCCCCTGGATTCTGTGCGACACCCCAGTTCCCTGACAACAAAGCCTCTTCTCTGCTGCGTTAGCTCAGGTTAAAGGCTTCGGTGACGCACAGCCGGAAGAATCTGGAATGGCAGACGTCAGTAAACGGACATCAGCAAACCGGGAAGGGGAGTGCGCGAATGAACTGTGTGTGGCGTCAGAGGACAGAGCGGTCCTCACTGCTGTACTGCAAGGAGTTGTAGCTACTGGGGGTTGATGCCTTGATAAAGCGCTGGCATACAGGCTTTAGAGAACCCTGTATGCGTGTGTGCGTGCGTGCGTGCGTGTGTGTGTGTGTGTGTGTGTGTGTGTGTGTGCGTGTGCTGAGATTGCATGCAGGTGTCTGTAGAGGTCAGAGTATGGTCTTGGGTGCCATCCTCCAGGAGCCTGCACCCTATTTTCTGGGTCATGACCCTCTTCCTCTAGAACCTGTGGTTCTTAGGTTCTGTGAGGCTGGCCAGTGAGCCTCTGAGATCCTTCTGTCCCTGGCCCCCCCAATGCAGTTACCACTATGACTGTTCTTCTCTCTTTAATATTTATTTTTACGTGTGCGTGTGTGTCCACGGAGGTCAGAAGAGGGCATCATGGCCCCTGGAGCTGGAGTTGCAGGTAGCTGTGAGCTGACTGCCTGACATGGGTGGCGGGAACTGAACTCAGGTCCTCCACGCTTAGCTTCTTTCATGGATTCTCACTGAGCCGTCTCCCAAGCCTCCTGTAAGAACTGCCTTCTGTGGTATTTCTGAGTTCACCAGCTGCCCTTGACAGCCCTGCAGCATTCCATCAGCCTGCCATTGGTCTCAGCTAACCCCATGCCGGGCGGTTCCCTTGTATACTAACGACCTCCCACACTAAGGGCTTGCCTTGTGTCCCTTGGTTTTCTGTCTTAGCGGGTACCTTCTTCAGAGCTTTGAGAGCTCAGTCCTTGAACAGGCGCAGCCCAAGGGTTTGGAAGGAGACTGAGCCTTGGCCGACAGTGGGAAACTTGCTCCCAAGGTGAGACTCACTCATGTAGCTGCTACGTTGGTTCTGGCTGTTGTTCCTCCAACCGCAGACTCGGTACGGGGCTAAGTGTCCTCACAGTCCTGTGGCTAGCTTCCCACAGAGCAGGCAGGCCAAGAGAGGGGCACAGGACAGGTAATGCTTCTCTGCCCAGGTTTCAGGGGCCCACACACTTTCGTGTCACCCTGTTGGTGGCAGGGGTCAGTTTGTTCAGCGTGAGAGGAGACTACTTGAGAAGATGATAATCTGGATGTTAAGGCCATTGGAGTCACCGTGGAGGCTGGGGACCATTGCCCCACTGCCACCAGGGAATGTGAGTCAGAGGACAAATGTCCCAGACTCCTAATAGGCAAGCCTATCCTTCATGGCTCCTCAGAGGGTCCCCAGAGAGACTGATCACCATAATAACCCCCAAAACAGATTTTTGTTGGCTTCTGCTCCTCCTCTGGCTTCCTTCTCTCTCCTTTGGTCCTGTTTCATGCATTCACCTTCTGAATGAACGCCTGCCCACCGAAATGTCAGGCTAATGCTTTAAGAGGAGCACAACCCTGAGGGGTTACTGTCACTGCTGCTCTAAAACACCGTGCCGAAAGCAGCTTAAGGGCGAAGGCTAGAGACAAGCCTCCTTGCTCAAGTGGCCCATGCTTGTGTATTTCTCCTTGTCACTAAGCCCTGGCACTTGAAATTATTTGCATTTGCCATGAAGAGGAATCTACAAGGACTCTCTGACATATCAGGAAGCCCAAAGACAACTTGGAAAAATACTGGAAAAGAATTGATATTAAAAAAAAAAGCCAGGGGAGCCTTTCAAAGATAATGAGTTTAGCCGGGCATTGGTGGCACACGCCTTTAACCCAGTACTCGGGAGGCAGAGGCAGGTGGATCTCTGTGAGTTTGAGGCCAGCCTGGTCTACAGAGCAAGTTCCAGGACAGCCTCCAAAGCACACCTCCTCTCCTTCTCCCTTCTCTTATTCTGAGAGCTATCCCAACTCACACGAAGACTTGTAATTCTGATTCATTGTTTAAAAGCCAGGCTGTGTGTACCATGCCGGGCCACAGGCTGCCTGCATGTTTGTGATCCCAGTTCCTCTACAGAGGACCTAGGATGAGAAAGTAACGAGGCATTTTTCTTTTGCCTTAAAAACCATCAGGCAATAGGCTGGAGAGATGGCTCAGTGGTTAAGGGCACTACTGTTTTTCTAGAGGATCTGAGTTTGGTTCCCAGTACCACATGGTGACTCACAACTGCATATAACTCTAGTTCCAAGAGATGGAATGCCTCTGGCCTCAGCAGGCGCCTGCACACAGGCGCACATACCCAAAAGCAGACACAGACATCTCTGCATAATTACTGAGTGTGGTGGCACATGCCTTTAATTTGGCAGAGGCAGGTGGGTCTATGTGAGTTTGAGACTAGCCCGAACCACAGAGTAAGACCCTTTCTCAAAACCAAAAAAAACCCTTAACTAACAGCAACAACCTCCTTCCCCCAAACCCAAACCAAAAAACAACAAGCAAAGCCAGGTGGGGGTGTGTATTTTAATCCCAACACTGGGGAGGCACAGACAGGCAGATCCATGGGGCTTGCTGGCCAGCTACTCTAAATACTCATAGAGGTCAGGTCAGTGAGAAAGGAAGGTGGACAGTGCCTATGGAATGACGTGAGATGCTATCTCCCGATCTCTACACGTGATGCACACACATATGAGTGCGCTCTAGTGCTCCCGAGCACACACACACACACACACACACACACACACACACACACACACACTATAGCTAGAGTCGGTGAGCTTACCAGGTGTTTGACAGTTATGCTCACATTCACTCCTAATAGAAGTTTTGAAAGAGTTAACCCATTTGACAGGGAGAAAGATGAGGCTTGGCCTTCAATATCTGCCCGGCATCTCAGCTTATACATGGGGGGCAGAAGATGGTGTTCAGCATCCCTGGGACAGGGCTGGCATCTGCCCAATTCCCTTCCCACCCTCCTTCAGACACCGGCATCTATCGACTGTCTGCTTGTAAAAGCCAACTATGCATGTGCTGGGCTCCTGACCATGACAACACCTGAAAACGGTTTATAGAGTGCCACTTGCCAGGCAGATTTCTTTTTCATACGTGAGTACAGTTTGTTTTGATCATTTTAACCCCCACTCCTCCTCCTCACTCATTCCAGATCCATCCTCACCCATCACAACCTCATATCCTCATTTTTTATTTAAATTTTTATTGCTGTTGTTGATTTTCTTTTCTTTTCTTTTCTTTTCTTTTTTTTTTTTTTTGAGACAGTCTTTCTTCATGTAGTCTTAGCTGTCCTGGAACTTGCTCTGTAGACCAGTCTGGCCTTGAACTTAGAGATCCACCTGAATTTTTGTTTTTTTTTTTAAAGATTTGATACTCTGCTAAGTGCAGTTTGCTGTGTCCTTGTGCTCATGGGTGTGTGGTCATTCACTGGAGCAGGGCTGATCCATCAAGGGCCACACCCTTAAAGAAAAGCCTCTCTCTCCCTGAAGCCATCGTCAGTGTCTCCTGAGCCCCTCCCACCTCCATCCTGGAGTGATGATTGGCTTTGTGCCAGCAACCACAGCTGCTCTGAGTCCGTCCATCCTGTCACATCCAGGAGACACTGTTTCCCTGTGATCCTCCCTGGCCCTTCCGGCTCTTACAGTCTCCCACACCCTCTTCTTGGATGGTCTCTGAGTCTTGGGGCTGGGGGCGTGACTTGGGGTTGGGGGCGTGACTCCGCCGACCCTTATCCTTGCTTGTGAACTTCTACATTAACTCCCATCCACTGCACGAAGAACCTTCTGTGATGCGGTCTGAGAGCTGCATTGATCTCATTATCCAGAAATTAAAAAAAAAATAAAAAATAAGCAATAACAACAAAACAACACGGCAGCTTACATGGAAGAGTCTTGGGGCTTGGTGACAGGACCTCGGCAGAACATCCCCGAGGCTCCCACATAAGTAACGTGTACAATTCTCCAAGGTCTGGATGATGGTACAGACAGCACAGGGAAAAGAGAGAGGGTGGGATGCTGACTGGACACTTGCAAGGGACAGCAGGATGTGTGGGTTTCCACAGCCAGGTTCAGGCCTGGGTGGCTCACAGGTGAAGCCCAAGGCAGGGCAGAGTGTGGCTTTTGGGGGAGAATTTTCTGTCTTCTCTCACACTCTTGGCTGAGGCTAAAGAGAAAAACCAACCTGTTTCTTTATTAATGATGCTCTCTGCAGAGTTAGATTAAGCACTGATTAAAGGCGAGATGTAAGGACCCTCTCAGTCGCTTCTCTGGTTTCAGGGCTCCTTCTCCACTCTTTAAAACCACTTTGGCTCCCTTCCCACTTGCCGTTCTCCGTGTGCGCTCCACCCAGCTTCCCAGCCGCCGCTCCCAAGCTCCAGCCTGCTGCCAGGAGCGAGAATCTGTAGAGCCATACCGTGCCCTGAGCCTCCTTACGGAGACACAGGTAAGTCACGGGCTGGGACTACCCCGGTCCTCTCTGTCTTTTCCAAGCTGAGGCTTGTCATTAGAGAGCTCTGTGTCGGGCTGGAGATCAAGTCCTTTTGTAACCATATCCCACTGAAATCAGAGGTGGGGACCAGGTTGGAGAGGCATGGTCAGGTGACAGAACCTGCCAGGTGCTTCTCAGAGAGCCTGGGAGGGGGAGACAAGAGAGGCTGCTCGGATGGATGCCCTCCACCCTGGGGGCTTGATGTCAGCAACAGGGGTTCTCTAGACGAGGCTTGCATAGATCATGTCTCAAATTTAGAAGACTTCCACAAATCTCCTAAATATTTTCTGGGTCCCCTCTGGACTCTTAACCAGAGATTATTGAGTGGTGTCTTTGTTGGGGAAGCTAATCTTGTGGTTGGCGTTCTGCAGGGGTCATTTGTGAGCGTTTGCTCATGCCCACTTGCTTCCTGGATCTCTCATGGAATCTAACGGGGAGACAACACGCTTCTTGTTGTAACCGGCATAAATAAACACGGCTTAGGGCTCACCAAAGCTGGGAACTTGGCCGGCCCCATCAGCCAACACGGACAGGGAGGCACCACGGGACACATTCACCACTCACCTACCACCTTGGTGCATGGGTGAGGGTGGCCTGGTGGGGGCAGTGGGGGGCCTGTGACAAGCGTGTGAACAGGAAGGTCCTGGGAGGCACGCCACACACAGTGAAGGAGCCGTAGACCCTGCACAGCCCTGCTGCGGTTTTCCTCTCCTGCCTCCTCCTGCCTTCCTTGGGGATGAACAGGCGGGTGCAATTTCAGGACAGCTGGGAGCTGATTGAGTTAGGGGCTCATCCAGGACCACAGGCAAGGCTCTTGACCTCCCTAAGCCCTGATGCCTTCTGCTGTTAAGTTGCCATCTTCTAACACTGTCTACCTTGTAGATTTTCAGGAATAATCCATGGGGAGCCTATTTTGTAGCTCCTATTAACTCATGCACGTCAGTGTGACCTCTGATATTCTGGTTATATGGGCAGGATCCCCTCCGAAATGTTCCTGGTGTGCAGTTGCAAACCTTTTGTGATTTCTCAGTCCTTTCTCCCACTGGTTGGGGGTAAAGTGAGGGTCTGACCAGACAGTTGCCTAGAGAGACAATGAAAACAATCCGCTAGCTGGGAGCCCTTCTCTCAGACAGCAGCAAGGGCATTTGCCTCATGACATTGCTTCGAGGGTGAAGTGAGATAATGCACATTACACACCCACAGTTTTACCTGGAACAGAGAAAGCACTGGTAAATGGTAGCTGCGGCTGCTAAAGCGTTTGTAATGTAGGGCTCGGCGGGAAGGTGACCACGTACAATCGCATGCAAGCGACAATGACAGCCATGTAAAAGATGGGCATGAAAAGGAGACTGAGGAGAAATTTGCGAACACATTAACCCTGCGTGTGTTTGGTGGCTGTGGCTTGTGGGAGATCGTTTCCTTGTTTTGTTTCCTATGTGTGATTGAATGAATGGTTTTCCGAGCTACACCAGGAAACAGGCAGCTCATTCAAACTAGGCGTTTGGAGAATGTTTTATTAAAGGGACTTTGTAAAAAGGCGCAGGTAGGTCTCAGTCACGGAAATGCCCAATGGCGTGTCTCTTTGCCTGGTGAGGGCGGGCGGCCATAACACCCCATGTCAGAAGCGGTAAGAGAAGGCAGGCAGGACTGCCTAGAGAAACATGGAGAAGGCGGCCTTCCAGAGTGGCTGAGGGCCAGCACCAGGAAGAAGTGAGGAGGATATTCCTGACCTTCCTCTGCCGGTCACTGTCTAGACACAACTAGAGTACAAGGGACCCCAACCATGAGCCAAATATGGATCACCTCAGGGCACCGAGCAGGGATGGAAGGATGAAGGTGGCCAGCAAGTGGGCCATGTGACTTTGATAAACTTTATAAATGGAGCTCAAAGGGTTTGTGCAGGGCCCCGTGCCTTCGTGCCTGACTCCTACTCTCCAGGACACTGTCCTCTCTCCAAACAACTTCCAGCTCTCCAGAGCCCACCGCCGTCCCCGTGGGCAGCCTCAGCATTACCAGAGTTTGCTCCTGGCTGATGATGCTTGAGCTCCCGGGTTCTTCGCTCATCAAAGCTCGAGTAGCAGCCGTTGGATTGTCTGTTAGCGAGATGAGGATGGAGTGTACTGATGTTACTTCTCCACCTTCTCTGGTCCCTCCTGTTCTGTCTCTTGTACTTTTCTGCCTGTCCATTAATGTTTGTATTAGTGTACATGGACTGCACAGAACAGTGGGTATCTCTGTTTTCATACGTGCACGCAATACCCTTTGATCCTATACAGCTCTCTCTCTCTCCTACCCTCCACCCATTCCTTTCCTCAGTAGTCATCCTATTATGACTATGTCCCCCAACCCAGATCCCACATATGAGGGGAAAAAATGGAGTGTTTGTCTGAGTCTGGCTTATCTGGACGAACATGGTAATCTCTAGACCAATCTGTCTTGCTGCAGGCAGTGTATTTTCGTTTTCGTTTATTGATGAATAACACGTGTATATTTCATTTAAAGATATGTGTAGTCATTGCTGAGCTTTGACGTAGAGTCCCAAGCTGGATGTCATGAATGATGCCCCAGGGACTGTGGATGAGCACATATCTCTGTTAGGTGCTGTCCTTGGGTCATTAGGGTGTAAATTTAGCAGTGTTCTATCTGGTCCACACAGTAGTTCTATTTTCTTTTCTTTCATTCTTTTTTCGAGACAGTGTTTCTCTGTGGCTTCAGAGGCTGTCCTGAATTAGCTCCTGTAGTTAGTTCAGGCTGGTCTCGAACTCACAGAGATCCGCCTGCCTCTGCCTCCTGAATGCTGGGACTAAAGGTATGTGCCACCAACGCCCGGCCAGTAGTTCCATTTTCATTGGAGGCTCCACATGGATTTCCATAGTGATTTAACTACTTTCCGTTCCCACCAGCAGTGTGAGGTCAGCTCTCGGTTCATACTTCTTTCTTCCTTCCTTCCTTTCTTCCTTCCTTCCTTTCTTTCTTTCTTTCTTTCTTTCTTTCTTTCTTTCTTTCTTTCTATCCATCCATCCATCATCTATCTATCATTATCTATCTATCCTCTATCACCTGTCTATCAATCCATCCCCTATCTGTCTGTCTGTCTGTCTGTCTGTCTGTCTGTCTGTCTGTCTATCTATCTATCTACCTACCATCTATCATTATCCATCCATCTATGTATCTATGTATCTATGTATCTATGTATCTATGTATCTATGTATCTATGTATCTATCTATCTATCTATCTATCTATCTATCTATCTATCTATCAATCCATCCTCTATCATCTCTCTCTCTCCCTACCTTCTATCATCTATTGTACTGGGGATTAAACTCAGGGCCTCGCACTTGCTAGGCATACATTCCACCAATGAGGTGTAGTTCCAGCTTTAGATGGAATCTTGATGTGTCTTTGATTAGCGTTTCCTTTCTGGTTAAAGACGGTGAGCACCTTTCCTTAGCCGCTGGCCCCTCCTCTTCTGAGAGTCTTCTGTTATGCCTTACCCGCTTCTTGGCTGGCTTATCTCTTTCCCTTGGTGCACTTCTACAGTGCCGGACATTAACCCTACGTTGGATGAACGGCCGGGAAAGACTTCCTCCCATGCTGGAGCCATGTGTTTACTCTGTTTAGTTTTCCACTGTTATAAGATACAGTTCCAGTTTTCACTTCTTGATAGTATTTTCTGAGATACTGGAGTCCTTTTCAGAAGGGTCTCCGTTTCTCTCTCAGATCCTTGTTGTTTGTAGCTATAACGTGGCATGGGGAAGCTCTCATCTGGTCATGATTAAATGCCTCCTATGTCCATATCTTTTTCAAGACTTGGGAGGGTGTTTTTTTTTCATTTTTTTGACACCATTTCCCTAAGTATTTTTCTGTGTCTTTAACACAAAATATGTAAAATTGCTCTTTAATTTTTGAGATCGAATGTCACATAACCCAGGCTGGCCTCAAACTCCCTATGTAGCCAAGGATGACCTTGAACTTCAGGTCTTCTTGGCTCCACCCTCTAGAGTTCTTGAATGCTCTGTTCATAATTTCTCAGTGTTTTCTTTATTACTGTGCCCTGCTCTAACTCACCACTTGTGTTCGTGTACTGAAACACTCTTCTGCTTGAGCTGGTTCCTAAGTGGGGCAGGGCTCTCTACTCAGATATTTTACTTGCTCAACGAGTATTTCATTCCCAAGACCTTTTGCTTTTTTTTTTAGACATCTATCTTTTTATTGAATTTCTCATTCATATCTTGTCTTTCTTAACTGGTCCCACCATCTTCCTGTATTTTCTTGCAATCCATTGACCCTTAAAGAACCAGTTGTTCTGAATTCTTTATACAGCATCTCATCCATTGCCATGTCTCTTGGGTCAGTTGCTAGTGAATTGCTAGCCCGGAACAACCCTGCTCCCTTGCTTCATTTTACTTATTATAGTCAACTGTTGGGGTCCACCGCTGTGTTGGAATAGACGCGTTTCCACTTTAAAACTTTTTAAATTTTTAGGAGTGTTTTGTTTCACGTGTATGGGTATTTCGCTTGCATGCGTGTCTGTGCGCCACACGCATGAAGCGCCCACGGAGGCCAGAAGAGGGAGATGAATCCCTTGGAACTAGATTTTTGGACAGCTGTGAGCTGCCACGTGGGTGCTGGGAACTGAACTCTGGGAGCGCAGTCAGAGCCCTTAGCCACTGAGCCATCTCTCCAGCCCCATATCTTCTACTTTCATGTGAGTCTCTTTGGAAACAGTCTTCCCTGGAAGATGTGACCGGAGGTTTGCGTTCTTCTGAAGTGCTGAAGAGGTTTCAAACTGTGCTTTGTAGTTATTTCCTTGGTACTTTTTAAACAAAATGTTACCACATGCGGCATCTCTCTCCGCAGACCTGTGCTGGACAGCACCATGTGAAAATTAGTTAGAGGACAACTTAGTAGAGTTGGTTCTTTCCTTCTGCCATGTGTGTCTGGGGGAGTGGACTCAGCCCATCAGCCTTAGTGACAAGCGCATTTACCCGCTGAGCCATCTCTCCAACCCCCTTGTTACTTCTTTTGAGTAAATTAATGCATTTTGACTCAGTATAAGCTGGGCTAGATCCTGAGGGTACTTCTTTTTTCTGTGGGTCTCACTAGAGTGTGGTATTTCAGCATGGCAGACAGATATACCATGGGAGGTGTGTTCCGCTGCCTGTAATTCCAGTTCTGGTCTCAGCAGCAAGGAGGGACTGTTACAGTGCCCTGTGCTGTGGACCGACAGGCGCCAGGCCCCTGGTCTTTGTTATTTTTCCTCTGTTTTGCTATTGCTGCAGGAGTTGGTCTCCTGGCGCTCAGACATGTTTGGAGTCTGGTCATCAGTTTGGTGCTTCTATCTCTCCTATTCTTCTATTGATTGGAGGTCACGTGATTATGTGACAAGATGCTGACTCTTGGCGCCGGAGAGATGGCTCATTGGTTGAGAGCATTTGCTGCGTTCCCAGAGGACGGCTTTACAATGTATTCACACAGGACCTTTCTTAAATTTTTTATTTGCTGTTACTTTGTGTACATTGGTGTTTTGCGTGCATGTATGTCTGTATGAGGGTGTCAGAGTCACAGGCACTTGTGAGCAGCCGCCATGTGGGTGCTGGGAACTAAACTCTGGGAGAGCAGTCAGAGCCACTGAGCTGTCTGTCCATCTCACACAAGACCTTGTCTACAACATGAAAAGCATACAGAATAAAAAGTGTCCCTGTCTATCCGTCCTGTTCCTGTCGATTCTGTGCCCTAAGTTTCTACTGTGCCCATATGGTGGCCCTTTCTGGTCTGTCCCGCAGACAGCTGGTACCCAAGCTGTGTCACCTCAGCACGCATTTCTGTAGACCTCCAGGACACTATCCCTCGAGAGTCAACCGCGGGGCAAGCCGCGTTCCATCCCCATCCTGAGAACTCTGTTTCTGCCACGCGTCTCTGTCCCAAGGGTGAAGATGGAGGACAGGTACTACCCAGTGATCTTCCCAGACGAGCGGAATTTCCGTCCCTTCACTTCCGACTCTCTGGCTGCAATAGAGAAGAGGATCGCCATCCAGAAGGAGAAGAAGTCCTCCAAGGACAAGGCAGCAGCTGAGCCCCAGCCTCGGCCTCAGCTTGACCTAAAGGCCTCCAGGAAGTTGCCAAAGCTTTATGGTGACATTCCCCAGGATCTGATAGCGAAGCCCCTGGAGGATCTGGACCCATTCTACAGAGACCATAAGGTACTTCTGCCAGGACATGGGGGTGTCCCCGCCTGTGCTCACAACTGTATTACTGGCTCTTGGGGTGTGTGGGAGGCAGGCAACACTTCTCCTCTGCTGTCGCCCCGTCTTTGTAGCTCTGAGAACCAACTTGGGATCTTACCTGTTTTCTCTAATGCTTGTGCTGGGGAGGGAGGTGAGGCCGACTCTACAGAAAGGTTCAAAGGTCAAACAGAAAGCAGGCATGTTTGAGATGGAGTATGGCAGGCAGGGAAGGGAGGTCAAGCCACCACTCCAGACTGGCTTCATGACTCCAGACAGACGGCTGCTGCCCAGATCCCCACTTCCTGTCTCTAAAGTGGGAGCAAATGGCTGATCTCCCCACCCCAAGGCAAGGCGTGCTGAGGGGAAGCACTCTACAGAGGGTGGATCGTGTTGACATCAACGATTAATAGCGCTCAGAAGGGATGCCCGTTTCAGCCAGCGTGGCAGCTTAAAAAAACGATTGGACAACAGGCTTTTAGGCTGTTAAGTGAGATTAATGAGAGCCAAACTGATAATTGATACAGAGTAGGCACAGTCAAGGAAGGCTAAGTACATGTTAATCAAGCGAGCACATGTGAATTCTATGCAAACCCCATATGACAATATGGAAGCCTCCATGATTTGTCTGCCGCATGTAATTCTGCCTTTTGATTTTATTGCATTTATTTGTGTGTGTGTGTGTGTGTGTGTGTGTGTGTCCATGTGCCATGGCATACGTGTAGAGGTCAGGGAACAACGTTTTGGGGCTTGGTCCTCTCCTACCGTATTTGTCCTGGGATCAAACTCAGGCTGTCAGGCGTGGCAAGTGTCTTTAACCCGCTAAGCCATCCCACCACCCCGGTATGTAACTCTTCCTTTTCCAAATTAGCTTTTATTTATGTGTACGGGTGTTGTGTCTGTCTGTGTGTGTCTATGTATCATGTGTGTGCAGTGCCCACAGAGGCCAGAAGAGGGGGTGAGATCCCCTGGAGCTGGAGTTACAGGCGGTTGTGAGCCGCCATGTGGGTGCTGGAAATTGAGCTCAGGTCCTCTGGAAGAGCAGCCGGTGTTCTTAGGCACTGAGCCATGTCTCCAGCCTCCTTAGGTATATTTTTTTTGCAAGAAATTCTAGAATGACTGTAGCATGAGGAAGTATGAATTCTGGGCTCTCCTTGGCTCCTTGAAATCCTGGGCTGTGAGATCATCACCCTGAGATGATTCCCTCTTTTTAAAAGGCTCATAAGACCTTTCGGTCCTCATTTATACGCTCCAGCAGAGGACGGAAAGCCTGTCGCATCACATCAGCTGGGAGTCTGGGGGGGGATTTTTAGTGTAGTGACTGTGGTGCCAAGAGCATCTTTTGCTGACACCAAGGGAAACCTGACCTCTCAAAGAGTGGTTGCCTGGGTGGGTGCCCTTTAAGTGGAAACAGCAGAGCCGCTGGACCGAATGTGGATGGGGATGAACCATTCAGAGCAAATGGGGAGCCTCCGTGGAAGGGACAGAGAGATAGAAAAAAAAACACTCATTTCTCCTTTTCATTGTCCCCCAGAATCTCAGGCGCTTCTGGGGCCACGGCTGTCAGAGAAGAGTTGGTTGGGAGAATCCTCTCTCTGCCCTGGAGCTGGGTAGGAAGCCCACAGGTCAGGCAATAGCTTTGTGAGTGGGTGACTCCGCAGGGGGCAGGCTCTGGCTTTAGGGCCATTACTTCTTACTCTGAACTCACCCTTTGAATTGGAAGGCAAGGTGTTCGTTTTGAGCCCGGAGCACCCATGATCTCATGTGGTATGTGCGCTCAACAGTCACGTGAGAGCCCAGTGCCTTAATTATGAGGAACCCAAAATTTATACTGTCAAACAGCGGGGAGCCTAATCTGCAGAGTTATTTAGGCCCCACCCCTCCCTAGGAGGCTCCTGCAGAGGAAGAGGTAGAGATGTCTCAGCGAGCAGGTCGGAGGAGCTGGTCCCTGCCCTTCTAGTCATTAAAGCCCTGGCAAGTGTTGTGAAAGGCACCATTAGCTGAAATATTTAAAGTAGTGAGAGGAAGCATCAGTACAGCCAAAGTGTACAGGAGCAGAGCCGTAGTGTTCCCCCGTCATCAGGGGTGACTGTCCTCCAAGACGAGGCCACTCTCTGCCCTGAAATGGCGTTTACTCAAAGGAAGGCTCAGGACCCTTCTAAGAAGTCTTGGCTCACAGGCTCCTAGCACCAAAGGAACCCCACGGCCCATTTCATGGTGCTGTGTGGGATAAGACAGGCACTCTGGCCGTGCTTTCTCTTGCAGACGATGAGTGTGCCCAGCAACTCACTGGCAGGAGGGAGGTGGCCAGGACGAGCTGGGTATAGAGCCAGAGCTGCAGTAGTCTTCCTGCTTTGGGCCTGGGCATCATGGTCTGTCCCTCTTTTCTGAGAACAGGCTAGACCACAGGTCAAGTGGGATTCCCCCTAACACCAGAGGAGCAATGGGATGGGAGACAGGAGTGGCTCTCGCTCTGTGAGGCGTTTGTGACTGTTGACCTCGGGACAGGTAGGGGAGCTGATCTACCGTTACACAGAAAAGGGGGCTGGGGCAGATGGCAGAAACTAGTGAGTGACAAGCTACTGTCCAGGGCTACTTTGTTCCCAGAGCCCAGGGACACATTAGGAAAAACTGGCACAATGCGTGTGCTGGTTAGTTGTTTGAGAGCTTGATGTGACAAACCGAGATCATCTGGGAAGAGGAAAAGTTAGTCGAGAAAATGTTCCCATCAAATTGGCCTGCGGACAAGTCTGTGAAGCACCCTCTCGATTAATGACTGATGCCGGAGGGCGCGGCTCCCTGAGCAAGGTACCACCCCTGGGTATGTGGTCCTGGGGTGTAGAAGAAAACAAGATGAGTGAGCCATGGGGAACGAGCCCGTAAACAGCGTCCTCCATGGCGTCTGCTTCAGTTCCTGCCTCCAGGTTCCTGCCTGAGTTCCTGCCCTGACTTCCTGTCATGACGGATTGTGACTGGGATGTGTAAGCTAAGTAAACCCTTTACTCCCGAGTTCCTTCTGGTAACGAGCCTTATCCCAGCAACAGAAAGGAAACTAAGATAGTCCACTGGGCTCTTTAGAGGTGGGAACTCAGCGTTTGGCAGGTCTGTCCTGTGTCTGGCATCTGTGGACCTACACAGTAAGGGCCAGCAGAGCCCCAGTCCCTAGCCGAGGCAACACCCCCATGCCGAGGGGCAGTACCCCCTTCTTCCTCGGGTAAGAGCCACAGACAGATTTGCCGTGCTTGTGCTGGGGGGTGAGAGAGTGAGGTCTTTGTATGTTAGTTACTATTCTTGTGGCTGTCATCAGACACCTGACAGGAAGTCACTCAGTTGAGGAAGGGTTCTTTTGACTTCACCCTGTGGGGCTGCAGACTGTGAGGCCAGAGGTCATAGTCACTGGAGCCTGAGGTGGCTGGTCACATCTCATCTACAGTGAGGAGGTGGGGAGCTAAATGCTGCTGTTCCTCAGTTCCTCCTTTTCATTTAGTCAGGACTCCAGGCCATGGGTGGTGTCACCTGCATTTAGGATCCCAGGCCATGGGATGGTGTCACCCATATTTAAAATGGGTTTTCCCGCCTTAATTAACACAGTGTAGAAAATCCTTCACAGAGAGAGGTGCAGAAACCTAGATAATTCCAGATACTGTCAATTCAGTAGTCAGCATCATATATGACACTACATCATGCTTGGTGGCTTTTTTCCCCTGGCAGAGTCTACATTTATTTGTTCAATCAGTCAGTCAGTCAGTCAGTCAATCAATCAATCAATTAATTTTAGTGTGTGTGTGTGTGTGTGCGTGTGTGTGTGTGTGTGTGTGTGTGTGTGTGTATGTGTTGTATGCAAGTGCGTGTCTTAGCACATGTGTCAAGGTCAGGGGACCACTTGCTGGAATCGGTTCTTTCCTGCCATCATCTGGGTGATCAGGATCGAACTCAGGTCTCCAGACTTGGTGGTGAGCGCCTTCTCCTGTTGAGCCTTCTTACCAGTCGCTGGAATATTTTAAAGGTTAGGAACAGATCGGTAATTTCACTAGAACTGCTCATACCTGCTGTGTAACGGCGCGGACTCTAAGTCTCTCTGTATCATAAGACAAATACAAAAATCGTCTTTGAGATTGGGTAGTAACTTAAGATGCCTACCATGTGTGGCTGTTGCAGCTCAGTGCCTACGTGGGCTCCTTCTAGTCCTGTGCCACACAAACGTACTGTGAAGTTCCGTGTCAGGGGTTTGCTTGTCCAGGTATGACCCCACACCCTGCTTCCTGTGGCTTCAGGACTCCGTCCCCAGCATGGACTGTAACGTCACAGCCCGTAGCACACTAATATTGAAGCCAAGGCCATGTAATGGGAACTGTTGGCCTCCAGAGTCACAGGGTAGCTGGCCAATAACTCTACCACCAGAAGTTGTGGATACCTAGTCAGGGTTCAAGATGTGGTTCCCTAGAATTTTCTCCAAATGTGTTCTTGAAGAGTGTCGTTTTGCCAATGTGTTAATTTCTGTGTTGTGATTTCTTCTCAGACATTCATGGTGCTGAACAAGAAGAGGACAATATATCGCTTCAGTGCCAAGCGGGCCTTGTTCATTTTGGGGCCTTTCAATCCCGTCAGAAGCTTAGTGATTCAAATCTCTGTCCATTCATATCCTTTTCCTAGGTCCAGACTGTGAGAAATGTGTGCAAGCCCCATGGGTCTATGTGTGTACTGTTGTCATTATTGTTATTAATCCGAGTCAGGGTCTTGTAGCCCAGGCTGTCCTTGACATTCCTATGTAGCAGGGGATGACCTCAAACTTTTGCTCTTTGACCTCCACCTACCAAATTCTGGGATTATAGGAATGCACCTCCATGCAGGGTTTATTCAGTGCTGGGAGCTGAACACAGGGCTTCTATATGATCCATGAGCCTTGTCCCAGCTCCAGTTTCAGTGGAAGCAAATAGTCCTTGTTCCCAAAGCGCCACTACGGTGGGTCTGACACCGTGTGGGGCGGTGTTTGTGAGCAGCTGTGGCCCAGGAGCCTCAGCTTCGGGAGACAGACCCATAGGCACTCCGAGTGAGTGCAGAAACAGCAGGACAGATGGACACTGCGGAGCTGGGGAGGCATCAAAGCAGCTTCCACGAGCAGAGGCGTCTTAGGGGTGCCCTGCGAGAGATGCACACTGAGCCCTGATGGACCTGTACAGTGCCTGTTATATCCCGGAGACTTTTCCTAGCGTAGACGGTCCTATTTCCAACTTTTCTCTAAAATCAAGCCCCACCCCCACAGGCTGGGGAGACGGCTTAGCTGGTCAAAGCGTTTGCTATGTGAGTGTGAGGACCAGGGTTCAGATCCCCAGCACCCACATCAGTGCTGGGCAGCCATGGCAGCCTGCCTGCAACCCCAGCTCTGGGATCCCCAGAGCAAGCTGTCTGGCTCCACTAGGGAATGGGTGAGTTCTGGGTTCAACTGATAGACCTCGTCTCAGTGTATAAGCGGGAGTGACTGAAGAGGACACCCCAAGTCAACACAGATATGCACCATTGAGCATGTAGCACCCCCGTCCACATCTGAACTGCACACATGCACACGCTTACACACACACACACATGCACACACATAGACACACGCACACACGCATACACGCACGCACATGCATACCACACATTTGTGCACACACAAACAGAAAGCTCTAGCGAGGCTAAGCTTGCATTGCTCCCTGGCAAGGACGGCGTATTGAGAGGCCTCTACCTTTTGTGAGGGACTGTGCTGACTATCCCAGCTCATTCCTCACCCTATAAAGCCCGCGGCGGCTCAGTTCATAGACACATATGCCCTTCTAGACTCTTAAGATGTGGAATTTGTGGCCTCAGATTTAAAGGGCAGAGACGTGGGGGTTAGTAAGCATTCTGTGTGAGCGGCTAGGCCGTTCTAGACTAGTGAGAGAGAAGGCCAGTGTGCACTGGCACCCATAGGCCTACTGCCGAGACTGGCAGGAAGTATTCAGGCTGGTCCCCTGGAAGCAGGGTCTGTGGAGGCGACTCCTGTTTAAGTGATTTAGTAGAGAACTCTCTGGAGAAGGAAGAAAGGATGTAGGCTGGCAAAGAGGAAGGGTTGAGAAGGCTGGGGGTGTACTCAGGGCAGAGCATTGAGCAGGCAGAGCATTGAGCAGGCTGAGGGTGTACTCAGGGAAGACCATTGAGCAGGCTGAGGGTGTACTCAGGGCTTGAGCAGGCTGGGGTGTACTCAGGGAAGACCATTGAGGATGCTGAGGGTGTACTCAGGGCAGAGCATTGAGCAGGCTGAGGGTGTACTCAGGGAAGACCATTGAGCAGGCCGAGGGTGTACTAAGGGCTTGAGCAGGCTGGGGTGTACTCAGGGCTTGAGCAGGCTGGGGTGTACTCAGGGCAGAGCGTTGAGCAGTCTGAGGGTATACTCAGAGCAGAGCGCCTACTTAGCACGCAAGATATTCTGGGATTTCCCCTCGTGCACTGCCAGGGGTTTGGATGGGCATGTGCCAATCAAGGCTGCGGTCCCAGCTAAGTCAGCCTGAGCCTGACTCTGTGGGGGAGTTTCTAGAACACAAGACACCAGCGCCTCATGTAGCCCAGGCTGGCCTTGGGCTGTCTGTGACCCAAGGATGATGTTGAGGTACCGATGCTTCTGTGCTCTCCCTGGCACTGGGATAACAGCTGTGAACCTCTGTGCCTGGTTCATGCAGTGCTTGGGGACTAAGGCCAGGGTGCAAAGTGCATGCTGGGTAAGGACTCTACCAACTGAGCTACCTACACCTCCAACTCAAGGGCAGATTATTATCTTTTTAAAACCTCTATCAGACAGATGTGTGGAAGGGGAGGGTCGTTCCTCAGATGAAGGGGCTACCGTTCAGCAGGGAGCCTCCTCCAGAGGTGGGGATGGGCCTGAATTGTTTGGCGCCAACTCTTGCATGCAAGCGGCTCAGAGACCCTCCCCACAATGGCAGCTCCCCGTCCTGCTCTCAGGATGGTCCAGCAAGGTGTGTGCCTTAATCAGCCCTGGTCACGCTCTTCAGCATGTTCATCATCGGCACGGTGGTCATCAACTGTATGTTCATGGCTAAATTTGGGGACAGGAGTTCAGACACGGAAATTTCCGAGTGAGTACTGTTCCTGAGTCCACATACTCTATAAAGTTTTTCTTCTTTTAAAGTCTAGCCGAGGGGCTGGGAATGCGACTCGGTTGGTAGAGTGCTTGACTCAAGTCCACAGAGCCCTCGGTTTCATCCCCAAGACTACATAAACTGCTGCTTTTGAACAAGAGCCCGGTTCAGATCCCAGCACCCACATGAGACAGATCACAACTGCTTGTAGCTCCAGCTCTAGGGGGATCTGGCGCCCTCTTCTGGCCTTTGAGTGCGCCTCCATTCACGTGCGCATGCTCACACATACACATGCACACATAAATAAAAAATAAATCTTTAAAAATACTTCTTTGCATGGGGCTTGACAGCACATATCTGTAGTGCCAGAACTTAGAAGGCAGAGGCAGAAAGACCAGTCTTGGTCACATATGAGATTATGTGAAAAATTTTAAAAATGATCTTTACACGGGGCATGGCTGGTTGAGCTTTCTTAGTCTTGTTTGTGTTTTTTAATCTCTTACTTTCAACTCTAATTCTTCTGCATTTGGAATATTTATTTTATTTTTATTTAAGTGTTTTATGTGTATGTGTGTTTTGTCTGTGTACCACATGGAGCTCAGAAGAGGGCATCGGGTCCCTCTTACAGGCAGCCGTCAGCCTCCATGTGGGTTCTGGGACCCGAACTCTGCTCCTCTGGAAGAGCAGACGGTGCTCTTAACGTCTGAGCATCTCTCCAGCCCCTTTGACCCTCCTGTTTGTACCCCATCCCACCGGTACTGGGACTACAGGCACACACCAGCAAGCCTGGTTTATGTGGTGCCGGGGTGGGCGTCGACCCCAGGGCTTTGCACACTCCAGGCGAACACGCTGCCTGCTGCGCCCCGTCCCCAGAGTGGTTCCTCCCTTTTCCCATCCCTTCTTTTTACGAACGATTTGTCTTGTAGATACATCTTCACTGGGATTTATATCTTAGAAGCCGTGATTAAAATACTGGCAAGAGGCTTCATCCTGGATGAGTTTTCCTTCCTCCGAGACCCGTGGAACTGGCTGGACTTCATTGTCATTGGAACGGCGTAAGCGTGTTGAAAGGGCTTTGGGAGACTCTCGGGGTGGGAAAGAAGCCTCTTTGCTTCCTCTGGGGGCGCTGTGTAGATTCACAGGATTGGCTGAGGTGACCAAGGTTGCCTGGGTCCCTCAGTGTGGCACTAATTGATTCTGCACAACACCAGGAAGCCACTGGCCAGAGGCCTCCGGGCACACACCCATCCCTCGTGTTTTCACTCACCCGCTGACCAACTGTGGCCTCTTGAAGTACAGGATTGTAAAAAACAAAACAACAGAAAAGCGTGGCCCCTGCCATGGCGAAGCTCACAGTTCGGGGGGGGAACGAGAGGGCTAGTGATGGTTACATTATGGTTGGCAGGTCACCAGGATAGGGCTGCACACGCGTGGGTGTCAGAGCATGGAGGGAGAGCCGAGGACTCTCTGGCAAGGATCTTTGACAACTGTGAGATCACCAAGACTTTTTCAGGAAGTTTTCTAGTTTGGGCTTCTACGTTTAATTTTGAGTTAATTGTTGCATATGGCGTGAGGTGATTTCCTACCTGGGGCTTTTGTTACAGTCCATGGTCCTGTGTGTGTGTGTGTGTGTGTGTGTGTGTGTGTGTGTGTGTGTGTGTGTGTGTTTAGGGCACAATGGCAAGAGTCTGGATTGGTAAACTGGGGTAATCACAAAAGGTCTTAGAAGCTAAGCCGAGGTTTTCATTCAGTCTTCATGCTGAGGGTAAGAAGCAGGAATATGTGGAGGGTTTTAAGCAAGAGAATGAGTTTTTTGTTTGTTTTTGTGTTTGAGACATGTTTCTGTATGCATACACATGTGTGTGCATGCATGTAGAAGCCAGAGATTGATGTCAGGAACCATCCACATGCTCTTCTGCCTTATTCATTCAGTCAAGGTCTCTCAATCAAACCCAGAGCTCACCGATGTGGCTAGTTTAAGGCTGCGATCACAGGTGGGCTACCATGCCCACTGTCCTAGGGTTTCTGTTTCTGTGAAGAGACACCATGATCATGGCAACTCTTACAAAGGAAAACATTTAATTGAGGTGGTGGCTTACAGTTCAGAGGTTCAGTCCATTATCACCATGGCGGCATGCAGGCTGACATGGCCCTGGAGAGGTGGCTGAGTGTTCTACACCCAGATCTGAAGGTAGCGGGAAGAGACTGAGACACACCTGCTCCATCAAGGCCACACCTGCTCCATCAAGGCTGTGCCTCCTAACAGTGCCACTCCCTGTGTGCCTATGGGGGCCATTTTCTTTCAAACCACCACGCCCACCTGACTGAGATCCAAACTCTGCTCCTCACCGAGTCACCTCCCCAGACCTCTCACCCCACTCAACTTTTCGTGCTACAGAGGTCAGAGGACAACTCTGGGCGTCCGTTGAGGCGGGGCCTCTCTTATTACTGCTGCGCGCTCCAGGCTAGCCTGTCTGAGAGCTTCTCCACGATCCTCCTGTCTGCCTCTCATATGGCCATGGGAATGCTGGGATTACAGATGTGCAACGCCGCATCTGGCTCTTTATGTGGGTCCTGGACATATTGAGTTCAGGTTGCCAAGTTCACACGTCCATTCCCTTTATCCCCTGAGCCACATCCCCAACCCCCTGTAGTCCAATTTGAATCAGTTGTGGATGATTCAAGGTGAGTGTTGAAATTGTTTCTGGGGAATAAACACTGTTCTGATACTCAAATGATGGAGTCAATAAAATAAAAAATCAAGCCAGTGTGACAGTAACACACCAGCTGTCACATAGCACCAGGCAGTGTGGCTATCATTTGCCTATATTTTCCCTGGTTCCATCACAGAAGTCATTAGAGGCAGCTGCCATTCATCTCAGAGTTTATGTTTGAAGATCACCATCTATGTGCTCCCGGCGTTACTTGGTGATTAAGAACTTGGGTTCCAGGGCAGGGGAGATGGCTCAGTCGGTAAGGAGCCCGCTGTGCAAGTATAAGGCTCCCGAGACCGATTCCAAGGCCCCCACATAAAAGCGGCTGGTTGTGGCAGCATGTGTCTGTAAACCCGCTCTGTGAGACAGACAGGATGATCCCTGGGGCTTGCCCATCAGCTAGTCCAGCCCAACCGGTAAGTCCTGGGCTCAGTGAGAGACCCTGTCTCAACAATTAAGGCGGACAGAGGTTGAAGAAGACACCTGCCACCCATCTCTGGCCTTCCCGGAGTGTGTGGCATAGCAGTGTCACCCAGCAAGCTGGGCTCCCCCTGTCTTTTGTCTCCTAGGGTCGCGACTTGTTTTCCAGGCACCAAAGTCAATCTCTCGGCCCTCCGTTCCTTCCGAGTGTTCAGAGCTCTGAAAGCGATTTCCGTTGTCTCAGGTAAGCCACTTCCGGGGCTGACTCTTAGCTGAAACGTTCTCTGACACTGAGACGTTTCCGGATGGGGGGCTGGAGAGATGGGTGCACACTTGGGAGCTCCTGCTGCTTTTCTACTGGGTGTGTTCACAGCCACCCATGTGGTTTTGCCGTTGTACACGGGTGTGCAGACTTCTCTGCTGCACGCCGACTTCGGGTGATCATACGCCTCGCAGTGGTGCAGCAAGGTCACATGGTGCTTCTCCGTCTGGGCTTTGAGGGTCCTCCATGTTGATTTTCACAGTGTCGGCATTAAATTCACATTCCCACCGGCGATGTACAAGGATCTCTTCTCCCTCCACACGTGTTCTCATCAGCCCCCTCTTCGTTCCTTCTCCTCCTTCTTTCTCCCTCTCTTCCTTCTCCCTTCCCGTTTCTTCTTTTCAGCCATCCTGTCTCTCCTCCAGATTTACTTCTCTTCACCCCAGCTGAGCCGGGTGGTGGGGCGGCGCATGCCTTTAATCCCAGCACTCGTCATATGCTGAAAAGGTGTAGATATCCCCTTTCTGATGCTGACAGCCTGTCTCTTACCACACAGCCTCCCAGACCGTCGTTAATCCCCTCCTTGACCCTTGCCTACGTCTGGCCAGGGACTGAGGGGGTGTTTCTCCCCAAATGTCTCACCCCCCCTCAGGTCTGAAGGTCATTGTCGGGGCTCTGCTGCGCTCGGTGAAGAAGCTGGTGGACGTGATGGTCCTCACTCTCTTTTGCCTTAGCATCTTTGCCCTGGTTGGTCAGCAGCTCTTCATGGGAATTCTGAACCAGAAATGTATTAAAGCCAACTGTGGCCCTAACTCTACGTCCAACAGTGAGTTCCCCGCTCCTAACCCTTTGGTTTGTGCATGGTTGACTCCCACCTGCTCCCTGTTCGTACGGTCTGACTGCTCTGCCTTTAGGAGCAAAGGGAGACTATCCACCCCGAGATTCACACACACACACACACACACACACACACACACACACACACACACACACACACACGTTTAGTAGAGAATTCCCTCATTCTCTGAGTTTCTCGGGGCAGGAGAGGGGGAAGAGAAATCTCAAAGCCAGGTCTACAAGAGCTGCGACTGCTCCCTCTAACATTAGATCTCAGCCCACCGACTCAGCATGGTTTTCAGAGTGAGCTGAGAACGCCTGGGTTTGGCCAAAGGGAACAAGACCCCTCCCCACTTCAAGTATCGTTATTATTATTGTTATTATTATTGCAATGTCAATGCTTTTTCGGTGCCCACCTTCTCTGCCCTGAGGTCAGTCCCACTCTGCTTTGACGACCCTGCACTTCATGTAGCTGCGTTCTCTTCCTGCTGGTCGAGGCCGAGTCTTGTCTGGCTTTTCCGTAGGGCTGGCCTCTGGCCCGTTGAGGGTGATGCATGTTACGTGTGGTCGTGTGGTGATGGCGATGGCCCATCCTCCCTCCTTCCTCCTGTCCTCTCGTCCTCTTCACTTTCTAAGGCTCCATTGCCCTCTCAACGCCACGTTGATCACTTCAGGGGATTAAAATTAGCTGCTTGCAAAGTAGTCTGACAAACTTGCTATTCTTTTTCTTTCATGTCGGTCTTTCTTTCTTTTTTAACCTGGACCCATGACTTCCTTCTCTTAGAGGATTGCTTTGTAAAGGAGAAAAATAGTGACGACTTCGTCATGTGTGGCACCTGGCTCGGCAGCAGGTAAGAGGTCTAGGCCGTGTTCCTCCTGAGTCGACCACCCCAGGGTCTTTTGGAGTTTGTGCAAATGGTCTTCATGTAATGATTAGTGCAGTAGGGGGAGTTCCCAGGGATGAGCTACATAGGCAGGGCTGTTTACTTATTTTACTTTTTGTTTGTTTGTTTTGTTTTCTTGAGACAGGGTTTCCCTGTGTAGCTTTGGAGCCTGTCCTGGAACTCTGTAGACTAGCCTGGTTTTGATCTCACAGAGATCCTCCTGCCTCTGCCTCCTGAGTGCTGGGAGTAAAGACGTGAGCCACCAATGGCCGGCTATTTTATTTTGATTTATTATTTTTTGTTTTATGTGCATTGGTGTTTTGCCTGCATATGTGTCTGTGTGAGGGAGCCAGATCCCCTGGCGTTGGAGTTACAGACTGCTGTGAGCTGCCGTGTGAGTGTTGGGAATTGAACCTGGGTCCTCTGGAAGAACAACCAGTGCTCTTAACTGCTCTCCAGTCCCGGGTTATTTATTTATTTACTTTAGTTTTAAATCATTTAAACATTTTAAAATTAATTTCTATGTGTGTGCATGTTTTCCATGCATGTATGTCTGTGTACCGTGTGTGCACGAAGTGTCTGCAGAGGCCAGAAGAGGGGTTCCGATTCCCTGGGACTGAAGTTACAGGCGACTGTGTGCTGGCACGAAGGTGCTGGGAATGGAAGCAGCCCGTGCTCTTAACTCCTCCTCTCCAGGGTCCTAACTTTTGCTTTTAGCAACAAAGTCTCATTATATACCACTCAAACTTAGGATCCTCCTGCCTCAGCCTCCCAAATAGCCAGGACTACAGGCACATGCTGCCATGCCTGGCTTACATGATCTTAGACTTGGGTTATTCAAATAAAAATTATTTCTCCAACCTCCAAAGCAATACAGAGAAACCCTGTCTCGAAAAAAAAATCTCTCTGGGAAGTGGTAGTCCATGCCTTTAACTCCCGCACTCGAGAGGCAGAGGCAGGGAGATCTTTGAGTTCCAGTCTAGCCTGGTCTACAGAGTGAGTTCCAGGACAGCCAGGGCTGCACAGAGAAACCCTGACTTGAAAAACAAAACAAAACCCCTAAAACAACAACAAATTATTTGCAAGTGTTGATAGCAGATTTTCCCCCTAGTTATGTGGAATTGGTAGCTCACAAGAAATATATAGAAAATTCAATGATACTTCAAATTTATGGAATGGATCTGCAAGTATTTCAAAGGTAACTGAAAAGTTAAATAAGTGGTAGCTATAAGACACAAAAAGAACTACCTCCTGTTTGTTCATGGAATAAACTGTATTTATTCATAAGAAAGCAGGTGATGTCCATCCTCTCGAAAGGTTGAGGCATGCTCCCGTGGGCTTATTGTAAAAGATATGTGTGGATGAATTAACAAATAAATAAGTGTGTGTTTCTCTCTTCATGGGAAACTGGAAGCTTCTGAAGCTGATTGTTAACTGGCACCCATGGTTAAGTGGGACCAAAGGACAAGGACAGAGGGACTCAATGACCCTTATGTGTACTTTTTTTTAAGCTACAAGATTTTTATTTTAAATTTTGTAAATTATGATTTTCCCAAAGTTCATTCCTTTTCTGTTCTTTCCTCCAATTTCATTTTTGTTCTTCAGTTTATTCTTTAATCCTTTGCCAGTTTCGTACGTGTATATAATGAATTTTAGTGATTTTTCCCCCATTGCCCTCCTTACCCTTAATCCTTCTCCTGCTGAAACCTGTCTTCTTCTTTCCAATGTGTCCTCCTACATTTGTGACGTGTGTGTACACTCCGTGTGTGCGCACTCTGTGTGTGTGTGTGTGTGTGTGTGTGTGTGTTTGTGTGTGTGTGTGTGTCCGTCCCACCCAGCTGACTTAGGGTTGCTTACGCAAACACAGGTGGGAGATAATTTACTGCAGCACTGACAGTTTACCAGTGGTTACACCACTGAAGAAAGGGATTTATTCTGCAGCCACCACTGACTGTCAAAGTCCCTCATGGAGAGGGTGGGGCCTCCTGAGCTCCTCCTGTTTCCATTGATGGAGGTTGACAGGTCCCATCCTGTGCGGGGACCCACAGTTCCCATGACATGGGCTTTTGTCTTGCTATTGTGCCTTGCGTCTGCGTTTAATCTTTCAATGAAAACCTGGCTAACATGGTTTCCTTATCAATCCGTCGGAAGGGTCAATGAGAGACCTCAAGGGGGCATCAGGGAAACTCAGCAGGCAGGGGAGGGGTGAGGGGGGCCATCCTTTCTCTACATTTCTTTGAGAGAGCCCAAGGCTCTCTGAAGCAGGAAAGCTGGGCTGGGGGAAATATAATCTGTTCTCAATTCCTTTGTTTCCAACATCTAGACCCTGTCCCGACAATTCTACATGCAGTAGAACCTCGTTCAACCCAGACTATAACTATACGAACTTTGACAACTTTGGCTGGTCTTTCCTTGCCATGTTCCGGGTTATGACTCAGGACTCCTGGGAGAAGCTTTACCGACAGGTTCCTGTTTATTCTCTTTTTCTCCCTGTCGCCATCCTGACCCCTTCCCTGGGTCACCAACTCATTTACCATTTATTTAACACCTGCTCTCCAGCTCTTACTCTGTCGTCTGTTGCTTATCTATCATGACAGCATAGCTGAATTCTGTTTCAGAAATTGTGTTATAAACTCCAAGACAAGCTGGGCAGTGGTGGCGCACGCCCTTAATCCCAGCACTTGGGAGACAGAGGCAGGCGGATCTCTGTGAGTTTGAGGCCAGCCCAGTCTACAAAGCTACACAGAGAAACCCTGTCTTGAAAAATCAACAAACAAACAAACAAACAAACAAACAAAAACCCCAAACCAAAAAACCCCTCCAAGACAGTGGAACAGGGTGTTTGAAAGAAGAGTACAAACAGATCTCTTTCTACTCCCTGCCTATGTTAACACCACGGGGAGAGTTATGGACAGCAAAGTCAGGGAGCTTGGCCCCTCTGTGACTGTCTGGCAGGACCCCTGCCAGAGAGGACATGGGAGTCACTGTGGACTGGGAGGCTGGGAAGGGTGTCCAGCCTTTGGCTTCTCTGAGTCACAGTGGAGGGAGAGGAATTGTCACGGGTCACACTTTGTCATCCACAAATTTCTCTCTTAAGAACCGTGCAGCTGGGGCTGGAGAGATGGCTCACCAGCGAGGGGCACTGGCTGCTCTCCAGTTCAGCTGCTGGCAGCCATGTCATACGACACACGGCTGCTCATCACTCCAGATCTAGGGGACCTGATGCCCCTTTCTGCACACACACACACATACACACACACACACCCTCATAGACACACATAAAGAAAAAAACAAGTCTGAAGAAAACCCATGAGACTGAGTTATATAAAATATTGTAAAACAGCTCGTATTTTAATAAGCTTGCCATTTTGTGCTAGGCTGCACTCAGAGCTGTCCAGGGCCACTGGATATCTGAGGCTGTATTATTGTGTGGGACTACGGGAGATCTAACAGACACTCTGGCCCTCACAGATCCTCCGGACCTCTGGAATCTACTTTGTCTTCTTCTTCGTGGTGGTCATCTTCCTGGGCTCTTTCTACCTGCTCAACCTAACCCTGGCCGTCGTCACCATGGCGTATGAAGAGCAGAACAGGAACGTAGCCGCAGAGACCGAGGCCAAGGAAAAGATGTTTCAGGAAGCCCAGCAGCTCTTAAGGGAGGAGAAAGAGGTGGGGATTAGACAGGGGAGCCCATGGCAGGGGCCAGAGGGGACCCGTGATGGAGGCTGCAGCCTGCCTCTTGCGGGGAGGTCAGCCTTTTGGTTTCCCGTGTTTTACTGAGAATCTGAGCCCTTCGTAGCCTGGCTCTGCTGCTATTATTCTCAAACCGGTCTGGGCACAGGATTCTTTTTTGTTGTTGTTGCCATTTTAAAAAATTTGTTGAGTTACACATTTTTTTCTCTACTTCCCTTCCCTTCTCCCCTCTCCCCTACCCAACATGTTCCCAATTCACTCAGGAGATCTTGTCTTTTTCCCCTTCCTAGGTGGATCCATGTATGTCTCTCTTAGGTTCTCTTTGTTACCTAGGTTCTCTGTGGTTGTGAACATAGGATTCTTGAGAATGTGATTTCAATGCTTTTTGTAGTCTGGAAGCCTGTACCATCTAGAATATACACTAAATTACTGGCTATAGAATGTAACTTATTTATGTGCAAATTCAGGCTCTATTGCGAACTAGCTTATGTGAATCTGAAAGTATTTTTCTTCAGAACTTTGCCTGGTGGAGGGTTGGGGCTCTACCACAGAGACAGGCTTGCTCTTCCCTTTCTGGAATCCCATCACAACTTGCAGGCCACCCCAAGAAGTCTCCCTGGCTTCTTTCACTCTCTATCCAACTCCAAGTATTTCAGGGTAGGAGCTGTGTGTTTACACTGTGTGTTATCTTCTGCATAACACAGATTTGCCAGATAGAAGCCCATGGTAAGTCCTTAGTGTACGTAGGCACAAGTATATATTGTCCCTAGCACAGCCTAGGGTTAGTCATTGGGAAATGTATAAGAGTTAACCCTGCCTTTGACAACTGTGAGGCCTGTACAAAACCAAGCCACTCCCTGGATGAACAACAGCCCGGCTAACACATTCAAACGAGGCAAAGAGCAATCTGAAGGGTTCAGTCTGATGGGAGAGAGGAGAATAGCTCGCCGAGGCTGAGGTCATCTGCATGTCCACAGGGAGAAATAATCTGTTCATTAATTGCTTCTGTTGTTTTCCAAAGGCTCTGGTTGCGATGGGAATCGACAGAAGTTCGCTTAATTCCCTTCAAGCATCGTCCTTTTCTCCAAAGAAGAGGAAGTTTTTCGGTAGTACGACAAGAAAGTCCTTCTTTATGAGAAAGTCTAAGAAGGACCGGGCCTCAGCCTCAGATTCAGAAGACGATTCCTCTAAAAACGTAAGCCTTCTCCCCATGGCTTCATTGTGCGCGCAGGGCCCTGGACCTGCCGACGGTCCAACAAAGGAATTCCGCTCATCGTTTCTCTATTGGAGTGCACTTGCCCACACCCTCGTTCCTCTGTGCTGTGATCCCAGTACACGCTTATAAATATGTATGTGAGCAGTTACACTGTGTTAGAGAGTGATGCTCTTTGTCACTGTGACAAAATTCCCGATGGAGAAAACTCAGGGACAAGAGATCTATTCTGGGCCACAGCTTTGGGGCATTCAGTCCGACCTGGCGGGAAGGCGGGAAGGCGGGAAGGCATGGCTTCAAGGGCAGCTCTCCTCGGACTGTGTTAGCAGGAGGACTAGGCAGCGTGGTGACTGGTCACACTGTAGCAAATGACCAAGAAGCAGAGAGCTAGACTGGAACAAGAGGTGTGACCTTCAAAGCCCTCAGTGACCGATGTCACTTAGCTAGGCACCATGCTCCAGAGGGCCCTAACCTTCCAAAAACAGGACCACCATCTGGGGACAAAGTTACAGAGAGAAGCTGAGATTGCCCAGGAAGGTGGAGAGAGAGGGAGGGGTCGAGGCAGGGGAGTGAGCTGGCGAGAGGAAGTGGGAATGGAGTAGGTTCAGGGTGACCACTCCTGGCGCTGCTGCACTGGAGTGAGCCAGCAGGAGCAGCAGGGGCTGCAGAGCATCCAAGGGGGGAGCAGGAGAACACAGGGCTGATGTAAAGAACCGTGTCCGGCCTGCGGGTGGCAGGGAGGATGGTCGCTGCAGCCAGAGTCTCTCCACAGCATCTAAAAGGTCGTTTCCAGATGTGTTGGGAGTGAATGGAGCTGTTGGAGGGTGAGAGCCACTGGGAGCCATCGTATGGAACATTCTGTTTGGGTCTGGGGGGAGCTCAGTGAGCAAACATTTAAAAGACAGCGTAAAATGTGGGTGTGGAGATAATATGGGGGAGTTATTGAAGGAGCACCTAGAGTGGGAGGGACCCAGAAACCCACACACAGGAGGAGGCTTGTGGCTGAATTTCTGTCTGGTCCTTGTGCCGCATCTCAAACCAGTTAGGATGTTTTCTTGGTGCAGAAAGCAGTGTTGTTCACGGAGGAATGAAGGCAGGGTTTATATGAGTTTGCCGGACCCAAGATAAATGATGAATAGGTGCTTTATTGGGGAAGAGCCTACACAGATAAGAGTAAATAGCCTCCATGGTCTTCCTGCTCCAGAGGATGCAGTCTCTGCCCTTCCGACGCTCTCTCCCCATCCAAGAGAGCACACCCTCAGCTCCTCTACCTTAAAGGGGTCACATCCGCACTCAAAACCGCGCCCAAAGGGTGTGGCCACTACCACAGTTTCACTGGAAAGGCAAGATGCCACTACAGAGGAGGGCACAGCTCCCATCCTTAGCAGCAGCCAGATCTAGCCTGGCAAGGCCCACAGCAGCCAGTGTCCTGCTGGTCCTGAAGGATAAGGCTTGTGAGTCAGAGGTTAGCTGATGCAAAGAGGGCTTCAGTCCAGCCGCTTACTTCTAGTCCTGAAAACAATACCCGGAATGACACAGAGAGGGACCGGTTGGATGCCCGTGTCCCGTTAGACCCCTCTCAGAGATCACCCGAACTGCTCCAGGCGGGTTGGGGGCACTGACCTCTTCTTAGCTGCTTTGCACTGACGAAGTGGGGGGGGTATAGAAGGGACAGACATCAGTCAGGGTGCCTCAGAGGAGGGTTCAATCAGGGGCCATGATAAAACGTAGCAGAAGGCACAGATCTAGGATACATGTCAGGAGGTGGCAACTGTACACTTTGGAGGGAAGTTTAGGAAACAAGGTTAATGAGGAAAAATTTCGCATTAAAATTATCATGAGTTTTGTTAAGTAAGGTTAAATTCAATTTTATGACTGGCTGGACTTACAGAGGAGACAGACCATTAACTTTTATGTTTTAATTATCTTGGACAATAAGTTAGCAGCTTTTGTAAGATTAGAATTTTATCCCTGTTAAGGTTTTGAGTATTAAAAATTACAATTTTGACTTGAAGATCTTTTAGCATCACAACAAATTTTAAGCCATAGACACAGCTCATGGAGAGATTGGGAACTTTGTTTTCCTGACCCTTTATAGTGTTCTTTTATATGACTCAGTTTCCCCAAATTAACAAGGTTAGCAAAGATATAAGTGGTTAGGCATACATATTTAAGTCATTTTTTTGTTAGCACGAAAAGACCATTGTAACCTTAGGGAATTATAAACCTTAATCATCAAACACATGTTACTCTTAAGTCTTATTTTCTGTAAACCTTGTATAACTTATTCAGACCATCTATGACTTGGTTTTGGCTTTTGTGGTCTTGTCTTCATCTAGTATTTCTTTATTCTTAGGCCAAAATCATCATTAAAAAATCTATCCTTAGGTTGGTGGTGGTGGTGCACACCTTTAATCCCAGCAGTCTGGAGGCAGAGGCAGGCAGATCTCTGTGAGTTCGAGGCCAGCCTGGTCTACAGAGTAAGTTCGAGGCCAGCCTGGTCTATAGAGCGAGTTCCAGGGCTGTAAAGAATAACATCCTGTCTCAAAAAACAAACAAACAAAACTACCCATACTTAAAATATTTACCCATACCTTTAAACTAAAAACACATCCTTGTAATTTATATCCACTTGAGCATTTTTCTCTAACTTAGTGTTTTCCCTTTTTTTCCTAAAGAAGAGTTGAATTTATATACATGGCATACTGTAGCAAATTAAGATTTACAGTGAAGTAAATAAAGCATGTGACAGTTTTCCAATATTATCTGTGCTCAAAAGACATTTGAATCTGAGACCTACACATCCATAACCAGTCTGTGTGTCTGAAGATGTAGGCAGGCAACCTGAGAAGCTTAACAAGTATTGATTTCTCTTATGAAGGTATCAAGTTGCCAGTAACCTAAGTACTTGCAACCTAGAGGCAATCTAACTGAAAACTGTGAAAAAACAAGCAAAAGCATCCAGGCTTGGTGGCACAGACAAAAAGGCAGGTCACAGATGTAAGACGAAGGAGTCCCGTGGACAGAAGGACTTGGTATCTCAGTCATGGGAACAGGTTCAGAGGCCCTGCAGAAATGGTTGCTGTTCAGGCTCTGGTGGTACCGAGATTGGGGTGGCTGGGATGGGAAGGGTTAAGATGAGCTGGGGTCATATGGATGGGAGGAGGGGCCTTGGACTTTGATCACATTGTCTAAATCGGTCTAGATGTTAAGATGGAAAGTTCTGAATTTAGGCTGGCAGTGGACTTTGTCCAGTGTGTATTGAGGACCAAGAGCTGAACAAGGTCCTCCGTCTCCCAAATGGGACCTTTAAGATTAGCGGCCGGACAGGCTAAGGGCGTGTCCTTTGGCACAGACAATTGGGAAAGGGCAGCGTGGCTCTTGGCTCCCTCTGACGCCAAGCCAGAGGCCTTAGAGTATAGGTAGCTTACTGCGCAGATGTCCCTGGCAGAGAGGAGCAGGGTGTGCTATGCCAGAGGGAGGAGTCCAGTGAAGAACACTGTGAGGCCGACGCCACCTAGGGCAGTGGGGGGCTAAACCCCATGATGTGCTCTAGGCTGTTAGAGCACATCTGTCTGTCCGTCTGTATCTGTCTTGTTTTATTTCGGTATCTCTATGTACATGCATATTTTGGTCCATCATTGGTTACAGTTGCTGGGGACTGGGGATCACAATTGTGTTGTGATTTTGACTTGCTGTGAAATGGGCAGAGGGGTTTGGGGCTACAAGAAGAAGGGCTAGAGGTGAGGCCCTAGGACGTATGTACAGGGCGACCAACAGAGTCTGTTTGGGAACCCTCCCAGAAGTGGCGGGAGCTGAGGAGGAGCAGCGAACTGGGAGCGAATCAGGAAAGATTCCCCGGAATTCACCAGGCGAAAGGAAGAGCAGGCATTGCCTGTGGAGAAGGGAAGGTGTGCCACGGCCTGGAAGCAAAGGGCACATGTGTGCGTGCGTGCACATGTGCGTGCGCGTGAACCCGAGCATATGTATGCCTGTGTGTATGTGTGTGCACATGTGTGTGTTACACATGTGCATGTGTGTGCACTCGAGCGAGCATATGTATGCCTGTGCATGGGTGCACATGTATGTTACACATGTGCATGCATGTGCACTCAAGCATATGTATGCCTGCGCATGTGTGCACATGTGTGTGTGTACAAATGTGCGTGCATGTGCACTCGACTGTATGTATGCCTGTGCATTCATATGTGTGCATTTATGTGTGTATACATGTGTGTGTGTCTAGGGGACAATGGAGAGAGTCTGGATTGGTAAACTGGGGTAATCACAAAAGGTCTTAGAAGCTAAGCTGAGGGGGTTCATTCAGTCTTCATGCTGAGTGTAAGAAGCAGGAATCTGTGAAGGGTTTTAAGCAAGAGAATGAGATGTGTGTTTTTTGTTTTTGTTTGGTTTTGAGACAGGGTCTCACAATGTAGCTCTGGCTGTCCTGGAACTCACTTTGTACACCAGGCTGACCTCAAACTCACAGATTCCCCTTGCCTCTGCCTCCAAAGTGCTGGGATTAAAGGCAATCACCAGTGCACCCAGGGAGAAGTTCTTTTTTTTTTTTTTTAATTTGAGATGAGGTCTCAATAAGTAGCCTTGGATGTCCTGGAGCTTGCTGTGTAGACCAGGCTGGTCTCAAATTTACAGAGATCCATTTACCTCTGTCTGCTGAGTCCTGGGGTTAAAGGTTAAAGGCATGCACCACCAGGCCCAGCTGGACGTGGATGTTTTTGAAATCCTGGATGTAGGCTGATACAAAACTAACTGTGATTTTGCATTACTGAAACTTACTGCATGCTATTGGAATATAATCTGAACAAGCAAAGATTTGCTATATATCATTTTAATACTCATTTCCTGCTTTGTGTTTTCTTGCTAATGATTTATTATCTTATAACAGTGACTTTCAACCTTCTTAATGCTGAGACCCTAAATACAGTTCTTCATGTTGTGTGACCCTCCAGCCATAAAATTGTTTTCGTTGACCCTTCATAACTGTGATTTTACTACTGTTATCAGTCGTAACATAATTATCTGTATTTTCCAATGGTCCAAGGGTCATTCAATCCCAAAGGGGTTGCCACCCACAGGCTCAGAATCCCTGCCCTATTCTTTGGAAACAAAGTGAGACAAAATGAAAACTTGAGTGGTTTTTCTTACTTGATTTCAAAACCGGGTCACAAGGCAGCAGAGACGACTCATGACATCAGTGGCTGACCCAGCAACTCCTAGCCAATGTAGTGTGGTGGCTTCCCAGCAAGCCTTGCGAAGGAGACAAGAGACTTGAAGATGAAGGGCATAGTGGCCAGCTGCTGGAGTTGACAGTGGCTGATTGACAGCAACCATCGAAGCCCATTCTCTTCCAACTTGAGGGGAAGTTGTCAATGGGCTCAACATGGACCATTCAAAGCCATTGGGCATTTGAGGCACAAATTGGAGAGCTGGGGAAACTCAACAGTGGTTGCCTCATGAGCTGACTGAAAAACCTGAAAAGCACATTTTGGACTCTCAATGTTACACACAGCAACAGACCACGCCTCTACTGGATTGTGACGTTTGAGGACCAGCAGATCTCATTCAACAACCGGTGATGACCCGTTATGACAGATCACTTTCAACAGCCAAGCCTGCTCCAGACAAAGGTCCCGGGCACTCTTTGGTGATCTGCCACCCGTCTGGCGTGCTGACGTGCACTCAGTAGAAAAGACACACCCCAAACTGCAGCTCATGTAGCGGCCGACAAGGGGCCAGTCCTTTCCCACAACAATGCCTGAACACACACCACACAGCCAGCCCTCAAAGTTTCTCTCATCTGCCACCTTCGCCCGATCTCACCAACCTTCCATCTCGTCTTAAGCATCCGGACAACCTTTTTGCAGGGAGCATGCTTCCAAAACCAGCAGGATACAGAGAAGCTCTCTGAGAGTCCATGGAACTCCAACTCGGGGATTTGTATGCTATTTGGATAAACAAACTTAGCTCTTGTTGGCAAAAACATGTTGATTGTAATGGCTGCTATTTTGATTAATGAAGGCGTGTTTGAGCCTAGTTATAATGATTTAAAGCTCACGGTCTGAAGCTGAGATTTCTTTTTCAACAAACTAAACACATTGAAGAGAGGGGATTGGAGGAGACTAGAGGAAACCAATTAAGACGTTGCCACAGTAACCCCAAACAAGAGATGGCAGCAGCTTCAGCTTGTATGAGGGCTAGAACAGTATGTAACGTTTCCTGGGGAGAATAAAACATCTCCTCACTTGTGTAGGGCATCAGCGACAGACCCAAGAAAGAATTCCACCCAAGCCTGGTGAGCCAATGATTTTATTGGGGTTTCTTATAGGCACACTGGGGAACTGAAAGACAATTGTATCACTGAAAAGCCCCCTCAGGATGCTCTCTCAGCCTGGACTCTTAGGGGAGTGCCTGGACACTACCCTGAGAGAAATGACAGACTCTAGATATCCCTTATGTAGAAGGAATTGGCAATAGGGTGGGAGGCTGGGGGGGATGGGGAGTGCGGGAGGAGGGGAGGGAGAGGGAACTGGGATTGACATGTAAAACAAGCTATTTAAAATTAAAATAAAAAGTGATAATAAAAAAAGAAAAGCCCCCTCAGTGTGGACGATAACTCACAAAAGTTCTATTTCCAGAAGTCTATGTACAATTGTGTCCAGCTTAGCCAGACTCTACTCTCTCCAGCAACTGACTACAGCTTTTACAATCTCATGGAAGCAGGCCAGGTCAGAAAGATGGCTTCTAAGCCCCACGACACAAATTTAACTCTCCAGACCCCTATGGTGGGGTAGAAGGAGAGAACCAATCCCCTGGAGCTGCCCTCTGCCCTCTGCCCTCTGCCCTCTGCTCTTGAGCTGTGACACATGTGCTTGCAAAACAAATAAAATGTTTTTAAAACCTTGCGACTTGGCCTTGTGGATCTTTGAATTTTCCAAATCTCTTGAACCCTGGGGGCTTCCTTAGCTGCCCGAGTATGAGGAGCCTCCCTCCTTCTTCTGGGAGGGAGGGTTTGAATTCGTAGGAGATAGTTAAAAAAAAATAAGAGAGCTGAGCAAGCTGACCCGCAGAAGGTGATGCCTGGTGAACGAGTTGGACAGGGGTGGTGAGTTGGTGACTTGTTGGGACAAGAAAGGACGTACATTAAGGTTGGAAAAGATGGGCAGTTTGGGTCTGTAAGTACTGAGGTGGCATGGGACATCCCAGCAAAGATACCAAGTGGACCATGTGATACACAGAGTTAAGATACTGAGTGGACCATGTGATACACAGAGTTAAGATATGGTTGATGCTCAAAAGTAAAATTATTTTTTTAAAATCATTTAAAATTATGCTAGTATTTTATTAATCCTTAAAATCATTCTTATCATTAAGGTAAAGAGTATTTTGTTTGCTCTTTGTTGAAAGTGCCTGAAACGTAAAAAGTAAGGCCAGACTCCAGAAATGCACGTGTATGAGGACAGCGAATGACCAAATCCCCTTTCTTTTTTGGGGGAGGGGTTTGAGACAGGGTTTCTCTGTATTGCTTTGGAGGCTGTCCTGGAACTCGCTCTGTAGCCCAGGCTGGCCTTGAACTCACAGAGATCTGCCTGCCTCTGCCTCCCGAGTGCTGGGATCAAAGGTGTGTGCCACAAACGCCTGGCTCAATTCCCCTTTCTCTGGCTTGTTCCAAATGGACAAAGAAAACAGCACATCTAGCATGCCATGAAGATACAGTGAGCCACTCCATACAAACGCTCAGCATCCTCATTTGGCATCTTTATGAAATCTGGGGAGTGTCAGTCTGCCCGTCTTGAGAAGGCCCACTATGCTTTCTCTTACAGCCTCAACTGCTTGAGCAAACCAAACGGCTGTCCCAGAACTTGCCTGTGGACCTCTTTGATGAGCACATAGATCCCTTCCACAGGCAGAGGGCTCTGAGCGCCGTCAGCATCCTGACCATCACCATGCAGGGTAAGTTCCCCATTGGAGGTAAAGCCCGGCTTCTGTGAGTTATTTACCCCCCCCCAGAAGTCCCCCACGGAGGAGGTTTCTTGGGAACCTACCCACTGTGCCCTACTGCAAAGAGAGACTCCCTGTGTCTCAGGGGCATGCCAGCAAGGTGGCTCACCCAAGTGGGTCCCTGGGTGAAACTTGGCTAGATGGCATAGACACCTCACAGCAGGCTGAGCAGCTCAGGAGGTCTGAATGACAATCGCCTGCCAAAAGAGAAAGAAAGAGAGAGAGAGAGAGAGAGAGAGAGAGAGAGAGAGAGAGAGAGAGAGAGAGAGAGAGAAAGGAAGACAAGACAAGACAAGAAAAGAGTGGTAATTGTTCTCAAAGGTAGAGCCAGGAATCTGGCGTGGGTCAAAGAAGGCGGAAGACCGTATAGTCGAGCCAGGACCCTCTGATTAACAGCAAGCAGCAGAGCCGCAGGTTCAGGATAGATACTGGAGACCATGAAAGGCTGGGAGTGTTTGGACCTTTGGGCACTTTTGAGTTATGACATGACTTTACTTGGCCTTTGTGAGTCCCTGAAACGGATCCCAGCAAATCAGGGGTGCAGGGCCTGAGGGCCTGAGCTCATGTAGCTAGCTGACGTACCTGAATTTGTTGGTTTTTTTGTTTGTTTGTTTTTGGCAACAAAATAACCTAACAAAGACCACCCAAGGAAGAAAGGAAGGAAGGTTTATTCAGGATCACAGTTTGAAGAGCTCCGCCTTGATAGGAGGGCATGGGGACAGGAATGACAGGTCACATTGTGATTGTAGTCAAGGAGGAGAGAGAGGGACGGAGAGAAGGAAGGGGAGGAAGAGAGAGGGAGAGGGAGAGAGAGGGAGAGAAGGAAGGAGGGAAAGAGAGAGGGAGAAAGAGAGGATTGCTGGTGTTCTTGCTTTTTGTTTGTTTGTTTATTGGATCGAAGCCTCTGCCCATGAAACGGTAGATCTTCCCACCTCCGTCAATGCAGGGAATATCCGCACAGACAAGCTCAGAGGTTCATCCCCTTGGTATTTCGGATAAACTGACAAAGGGCATTAACCTTCGACTGTCCCTACCCTTACCCCACCACCCTACCTTTTCTTCTCCTGAGGTCTGGCCACCCCTTGTGCAGTTACAGCCCCAGCACATCCTCTCTTAAGAAAGCTGAGCCCATGCACGCTACCCCTGTCTCTCTTGAGGGCTCATAGTCTGCGTGGGCCTCTGCATCTGTGTCTGACTTACTTGGCCTCACGCTAGCTGAGGCAGACATGCTGGGTGCTCCGCAGGCAAACCTTTTCTATTCAAGAGCAAAAATCCTGGGGAAGAGGGAGGAGGGGGCACAGGCAGGCAGACAGCAGCCAGGCTGGGTGGGAGCGAGCACCTTTTACCCACCCTTCCATTCTCTTCCAGAACAAGAAAAATCCCAGGAGCCTTGTCTCCCATGTGGGAAAAACTTGGCAGCCAAGTACCTGGTGTGGGACTGCAGTCCCTGGTGGCTGAGTCTAAAGAAGGCCCTGGGGACCGTGATGACAGACCCCTTTACAGAGCTGGCCATCACCATCTGCATCATAATCAACACCGTCTTCCTGGCCATGGAGCACCACAACATGGACGAGGCTTTCATAAATCTGCTGAAAATAGGAAACTGGGTAATCTCCGGCTCTTGTGAAGCATACGGAAGCTTGAATCGTAACTCTGTTGAAAGTGCAGGCACTTTCGGTGATGTAACCCAAACTGCAGCCTTGGTCCTGCACACGGACTAAAGGGAAAAGGGGACTCCGGGTCAGAGCTTCTGCACAGGTCGTCTCTGTGGCTTTCCACGGGTCTCAGTGTAACCTTCTAGCTTGTTAAGGCCTCTTTAGTCACGTAGAAGCCAGAGTAGACAATCCCAGCAGTAACGTTGTGAGTGTTTGAGAGAACCCAGGAGATGCTAACCAGGGCTGGGATGTAGCTCAGCTCATAGAGCCTGCAGGAAGCCCTGGGTTCCATCCCAGCACCATGTAAATTAGGCGTGGTGATGCCTGTCTGTGGTCCCAGCACTCAGAAAGTGGAGGCAGGGGGATCATGCTTTCAAGGCTATCTTCAGTCACAAAGCAAATTCAGTGCTTAGCCTGGGCTACATGAGAGACTCTGTATTTTCCAATGGTCTTAGGCGACTTCTGTGAAATGTGAACCGTTTCCAGAGACCTGCAGTTATGGCCTCCATGCCCCTGTGCTCCTGGGGACACCGTTGGTAAATTCTCACGAAAAATGAGCCAGGCCTGGCAGATATTGGGGGTGGGGTGGGGAGGTCATGTTCCTGAGAGAATGTATTGATTGTTTGCGGGGAGAGTGGGGTGGGGACTTCCTGGGTGAGTGTCACTGGTTCTTACAGAACAGATTGAGTCTCAGTGAGGAAGGAAAACTGAAGGGAGGAGGAGGCTGAGCTTTGAGCGACTGCTCAGACTGCTCACTTTCATCTGTGGCTCCTGTGGGAGGCATCTTTCCTTCCTCAAGGGAGAGGAGACTCTCGTGTATCAGATACCACACACAATTAGTCAGTGACTGCTTTACTCTAATCAGCTAATGGATTAATGGATTGAAAAATCTTACCAGAATATCCAATTTTCTCCTTGAAAAGTCTCATTTTTTTTTCCTAACTGAAAAAGCAACACGTACTTTTAAAATCTTAAAATAAGGAAATTTTCCAGTTTTATGCATTTTCCTAGGGCAGGGGCGGGGCTAGAAAATGAGAGCAGGAGCATCAAACCCACTGCTTTGTATGATAACTTAAGAAACTGATAAAAAACGTTTTAAAGCAGGAATGTCGCTGGAGACAGAATATGGGTCTGGGGGTGTGGCCATGCCTCAGCAGTCACAGGCCCTGCTTTTAGCGCCTGGGGGTGCTACGGCTGTGTAGCAGGGTGCTGTGGCTGTGTGCTGGGTGCCCGGGCCTGACGACGGCTCAGCAACCGTGCTGATTTAGTGATTTTTCCCCCCGTAACTGCTTTGGCTCCCCCAGGCCATCCTTAAACAGGAGTCCCCAAAGCAAGCTAGTTTCCACATCTCCTTTGTCCCACTGCAGGTTTTCACTGGGATCTTCATAGCCGAAATGTGTCTAAAGATCATCGCGCTGGACCCTTACCACTACTTCCGCCACGGCTGGAACGTCTTTGACAGCATTGTGGCCCTCCTGAGTCTTGCTGACGTGCTTTACAACAACCTGTCGGACAAGAGCAGCCGCTCAAATCGCTCCTTCTTGGCTTCCTTCAGAGTGGTAAGGTGCTTTCTTCGGCTTCGTTTTTCCCGCCTTAAGCTTATTTCTTACCGTGCATGTGCGTGGGTGCGCGCACGCATTGGGGCATGAGTTGATGAGGCTCTGCTGCCCTGCGGATCCTGGGGCTCAAATTCAGGTCATAAGACTGGGCAGGAAGTGCCTTTATCCACTGAGCATCTCACCCGTCTGTTCCCTTCCCCTCCCCTGCTCTGCCCTCCCTCTAATCCCTTCCCCTGCCCTCCCTCCTCATCCTCTCCCCTGCCCTCCCTCCTCATCCCCTCCCCTCCTCTCCTACCTCCCCACTTTTCCTCTTTATTCCCTCCCCATTTCTTTTTGAGACAGGCTCTCCCTGTATAGTGTCCTGGAACTCACTTTGTAGCCCAGGCTGGCTGTGAATTCCTGCAGATCCACCTGCCTCTGTCTCCCAAGCACTGAGGTTAAAAGCATGTACCCCTATACCTGACCCTGGCTCCTCTCTCTTACTTCATTGTGTAGCAGCTATCTTGGACTAATTCATCTGAACTTAATTCCAGGACAAAATTTACACTCATACCCACCTCCTTGGGTAGCCCAGGCTGGCCTTAAATTCCCAGTCCTCCTGAGGCCAGGGATTATAGGTGTGTGCCACCATACCCATCCAGTTAAGGTTGATTTCTTTAAAACAGTTTCAAAAAGTTTTATGTGTGTGTATGTGTCTGAATGCATGCCACGTGTGTGCAGGGGCCTGGCAAAGCCAGATGACAATATCAGATCTGGATGCCAGTCACCCAGTAAGGGTGCTGGGATCTGGGCACTCTTCTCTGTAAGAGCATCAGGTGTTCTTGGTTGCTGAGCCATCTTTCCAACCCCAGAACAAGGTATTTGCTGCTTTGAAATAAACCGTAGGGCCGGTGAGATGCTGGGATAGGGTAAACGCGTTTGCTGCTGAGCCAGATGACCTGAGTTTGACCCCTGTGAGCTGTCCTTTGACCACGTTTTAGTCTCACTCTGCTGCCGTGACACAACACTCGGACCCAGAGTCACTTAGGTGAGGAAAAGGTTTACCTGGCTTATACTTCCAGGTCACAGTTTGTCTTTGAGGGAAGCCAGGTCAGGAAGTCACTTGCAGCGAAGGTATCAGAGCGGAAATCATGGAAGGATGCAGCTTACTGGCTGTGTAGCTCAAAGGCCCATGCTAGTCTAGTTTTCTTACACTGCACAGACCCCGCTGCATAGGGGCAGTGCTGCCCATACAGGACTGGTCTGATCTGACCTGGATAGTCCTTCCATTGTGACTTCCTCAGGTAACAGCTGAAGCCAACTAAGACAGCCTTGTGTCCTTCTCTCCACAAATAAACACATAAACATAATTTTTAAAAGATTTAAGTATGTGCTCGTGTTGGCAGCGCCTATACTAAAAAAGATTTAAATAGATCTGGAGAGATGGTCTAGTGGTTGGGAGCACTGGCTGCTCTTCCAGAGGACCCAGGTTTAATTCACAGCGGTCTGTAACTTCAGCACTAGGGGACCTGGCTCCCTCTTCTGGCCTCCTCCAATACTACACACATGGAGGCAGAGCACCTATACAAATAAAATAAAAAAAGATGAAAAAAGAGCTTTAAATAAAAACTAGCATTCTATATAGGAAGCTGGTAACTATGCACCAGGTGGATGTGGCCAGTTTTCAAAGTCCTAGTCGCCATGGTTGAGGAATGTCACTTGCTTTCTAGATGGTGTGCTCCCTGGATGTGTGAGCATTAACTTTCCTTCCCTTTTGTTACCTGTTTTCGCAGCTGAGGGTCTTCAAGTTAGCCAAATCTTGGCCCACTTTAAACACCCTCATTAAGATCATCGGCCACTCCGTGGGTGCGCTTGGAAACCTGACTGTGGTCCTGACCATTGTGGTCTTCATTTTCTCCGTCGTGGGCATGCAGCTCTTTGGCAATAAGTTCAACAAGACCTCACAGGGGCAGCACAGGCGGCGCTGGCACATGGGCGACTTCTACCACTCCTTCCTGGTGGTGTTCCGCATCCTCTGCGGGGAGTGGATCGAGAACATGTGGGAGTGCATGCAGGAGATGGACGGTTCTCCACTATGCGTCATCGTCTTTGTGCTGATCATGGTGGTGGGAAAGCTTGTGGTGAGTCGCTTGGGCTTCCTTTCCACTTGGGACTCTTGGATCGTTTCATCTCCTCTCCGACCCAACTCGGTGCTTTTTTTCCCCCTGTTAACCCATCAAGTCAAGTGTGCGCTGCTCATATGCTTGGCTGCGTGGCCTTCCGCTGAAGTGTGGTTAATTTACCAGGAGCAGCACTTTTAAAGGAAACTGACCCTCTTCTGCAGCTATCCGGCACAAATATCTCCTTGGGTAAGGGTGGGACTTCACGTCCCCTTACCCTCCCCCCTGTTTCCAGGCTGGGATTTGGTCCAGCTTGGGCTTGCACGGGTTTGCTCACACTGTCCTAACTGCTGTGAGTTCACGTGTGCAGCTGCCCTGCTGTGGCTCAGGGGTTAAGAGCACTGGCTGCTCCTCCACAGGACCTAGTTTCAATCCCCAGCACCTACATGGCAGTTAACTGTGGGGGGCTGTGTTTGTGCGGCTATGGTTAGAACAGCCGACTTGCCCACGGTTCTCTCTTAAGAGAAAGACAGAGACACAGGCATAAAGTCAAGAGGGCAGATTCAGCCAATACTGAACATGCCAAGTTTATTTTTCACCATACTTAAGTACTGTAACCAAAAAGGGGAACTTGATGTCATGTATACAGAACAAGCAGACTTTTCTTCCTCGGTTCTCCAAGGATCTGATAACCCCAACTTATATTTAATTTCTAATTATCTAGCCTTGAGGGTCAGGAGTAACCACACCTCATACCAAGTATGTTGTTATTTAGATAAGACACCCAAGGCCAAATCAAACTCCTACTGTAGGCAAGCCTTTGACCTTTAGGTCTTATGACTTACGGAGGACAGTTTTGAACTCTCTGACCTTGAGTCAAGATGGAATAGAGCCATCTTTATGGGTCCCGACAGTTAACAGTCTGTAACTCAGTTTCAGGGAACCTAATGTCCTCTTCCGGACCCCTCAGGCATTAAGCAAGCAGCTGGTAAACAGACACGTGCAAGCAAAACACTCAAACACACAAAAACTGAAAAATATATCCTCTTGAATTTGACCCACAAAAGGTACAGGCATGAGACAAACCCTCTTTGACACAGGGAACACGTGTTGCCATGTGGTTTACTGACTGTGCCCATTCGGGTACATACCTGATGCTTGTTGTAAGAAACCGTGTTCTCCTGGTCAGCGATTGGCTAAGCCAGTGGTTCTCAACCTTCACAATGCTAAGACCCTTTGATACAGTTCCTCATGTTGTGCTGACCCTCAACCATAAAATTATTTCGTTGCTACTTCATAACTGTGATTTTGCTACTGTTATGAATCATAACGTAAACATCTGATATGCAGGATACCTGATGTGTGACCCCCGTGGGGGTTGTAACCCCGTGGGGGTCGTGACCCACAGGTTGAGAACCACTGGGCTGAGGAACGGCTGTGGGACTTGGTTTGGTGGGTAAGCTATAAAAAGGTGTCCACTGGGGAAACATAGGAATGACTTTTCATTCTTAAAAACACCCACTCATGTGGGAAAATGCTTGATGGACAGCCCAAGGTCCTAGATTCCATCCAAGAATGAATATAAATGAGGAGTCTCGTGTCAGCACTATGGGAGCGAGATCCCTGAGACTTGCTGGCTAGCCAGCCTAGCCTATAAGGTGAGCACCAGGTCAGGCAGAGGCATTGTCTCAAACAATCAAAGCAACAGGTAGGTGGTTCCAGAGGATCAAAGTCTGAGGGGGACCTCTGGTCTGTATACCCTTCTCACACAACACACACACACACACACACACACACACACGGAGAACGGTCCCCCCTCTGGGTCTTCTCATGACTGTAGTTCCTAGAAACATTACGTAACGATGTGAACCAGGTGGTGTAGGTTAGAGCAGACCCTTGTTCTTTCTTCAGACAGCTCACCCTGCTGGGCGTCCTTACTGTGTAGGCAGCTGGAGTCTTTTCCTGAAGTCCTGCTTAGGTATCAGCAGAGAGGCCAATTGGATGCACGCTAGTGAAGGCACAAAGAGATAAAGGCATAAAGGATCCTTGGGCTTGAAACCCCAGAACCAAGCAGGGGCCATGGGGCAGATGTAAGTAACTGTCTGCACGGATAGCTTTATCCCGAGTGCCTGCAAACGGTCTGCACAGCTGGTAATCGACACAAGGTTCAGGAGAGCTGGCATCGTCAGCGGGAGTTAGGAGAGGGCCGTGAGAAAGGATCTGTGCATAGCGTGACGCTTGAGGAGGCGCAGGGGAAACCTCGTGCAGAGGTCCAGGGAGAGGAATTCTCCTGGCGAAGCTGGAGAGCTCCGGCTGGATCCGTTCACACCCTCAGAGCACTCCTTAGCCAAGGGAAGCTCACGACCACCCCGAGCTCCGGCTGCCGGTGATCTGATGCCTTCTGGGCTCTGTCTGGAAGCACCTGCATACACATGGCTCACATAGACAGACAGACAGACAGACAGACAGACAGACAGACAGACAGACAGACAGGCATGCACACACACATTCACATACACACACTCACGTGCGCACGCATACACACGCAGGAGTAAAAAATAAAAATAAATTTCAGTTAAAAAAACTAGTGTACAAAACATAATATATTCAATTGTGACATTTACATACATAACCTTTCTTTCCCTTATTTTCATGTGAATGTGTCATGAGTGTGTATGCATGCTCACATGTGTGTGGCCACCTGTATATGTGGGCACACATGTATGTCCAGGTGTGTGCGTGTGTGTTGGAGGGAGTTCCTAAGGTGATGTCAGAAATCATCCTTGGTCACTCTTCCATTGTTCTTTGAGGCGGGACCTCTCAGGCAAACAGTCCATAGACATGGTTGTTCTGACTAGCCGGCTTGCTCAGAGCTTTCCTAGCCGTCTCTAAGGCTGGAATCGCAGGTGGGCTTTCATGCCCACCCGGCACTTATGTGGGTTCTGGGGATTTGAACTCTAATTGCCCAGCCATCTTCCTAACCTATGAGATTTGTTCCTGTTGACCCCTTCCTGGACCCTCCCCTCCCCCTCCCTGTTGCACCTTCCCACCCCCAGTAGGACCCTTTCTGCTTCCATGTCACATACATTCTATTATTAACTCCGTCCTTAAAAAAAAAAACCCAAAACCCTCTTTTCCTCATCTTGTAGTTTCCTTTCTATTTCACGACTGATGCCCACACTCACACCCACACTCACACTCACACTCATCTACAAAACCTTGAAAGTGGGACCTGCACACGGGACAGAACGTGTGGTGTCTGTCTTTCCGTGTCTGGGTTCTCTCAGCATAACAGTTTCCAGATGTCCGGGTTCTCTCAGCATAACGGTTTCGGGATGCACCCTTTCCTGTGTCTGCACCCTGTAAGCTGCATTCGCTGTGCCTCTCGATCCCGTTCTTTCCTCGTCCTCATCTTGTCACTTACGCAGGGGAGCTTTGCCAGGAGGGAGCGGGCCGTCTCACTTGATTAGAATTTGAGCTTTGGCGGAAAGGTCCTCCAGGGAACTCCAAGCACCCCTTCCTTTGCTAAATTTCCCCGTATTACCCACCCCAGGTGCTTAACCTCTTCATTGCCTTGCTGCTCAATTCCTTCAGCAATGAGGAGAGGGATGGGAGCCCCAAAGGAGAGACCAGGAAAACCAAAGTGCAGCTAGCTCTGGATCGGTTCCGCCGGGCCTTTTCCTTCGTGGTGCATGCTCTTCAGGGTTTTTGCTGCAAGCAACGCAGGAGGCAAAACTCACCAAAGCCGAAAGAGATCACAGGAAGTTTTGTTAGTGAGAATAAAGACATCATCCCGCTGGATACAAAGCCCTCCAGGGAGCTTGATGCACTAAGGACTTGGGACACCGAGCACGACGGAGCTCGCTTGGCCCCACTTGCGGAGGAAGAGGATGACACCGAATGCTATGGTGAACTCAGAGTCCCATCCGTCTCTCAAGCTGGTGCCAGAGTTCAGGTACGAAAGTGGCTCAGCCATGCAATCATCACAGGGCACGCGTCACCCGTTATGTCCTAGGTATGGCTCAGGGATAGTTGGTTATAAAATGCATATGATCTCTGACACATCAGGCTAACCCCAGGAGGGGTTTCAAGTGGCTGCTGTGTTTGCAGCTTCATACGGAACGTCAGAAAGTCCCTCACAGATTAACTAGCCAGCAGCTTGGGTTTCAGTCGATTCTGAAGTAGTCAAGTTGAGTTGACAACCAGGATTAGCTGTCACACACTGTTTTTAGATGTCCTTGCAGAGATCACCACACCAAGCCTTCCACTTTTATGAAGTGGTCTTTTTGTATTTTCCTTTTTTTTGTTTCCTACATGTCTTGGCCTCCTTCTCTGTTGCTCTGGTCTAAGGCAGAAGGTTTATTCCAACACACAGTCCAAGGTGCAGTTCACCAAGGCAACAGTGGCTTGAGGCAGCTGCTCACGTACACCCGCAGTCAGGAGGCAGAGGGCAGCCCATGCCACTGCTCGGATTCCTTCTCAGTCACACGGTTCAGGATCCCGGCTAGGGAATGGTGCCGCCCACAGTGGATGTCTTCTCATCTCGACACAATCAGGACAATCTTCCACAGGCATGCTCAGAGGCTCAGATCCCAGGTGGTTCTAAATTTTTGTCACGATGGCACCACCCTAAGTTGCTAGGAGACCCTCCGTATTCAATGACTCTTCATTTTTCTTATTCTTCATGGTCTATCAGGTAACTGAATTTTTCCTTTTGCTAAACTGTGGCAACACATACCAGCATTGTTTATTAAGCGATCTATTAGTTAGCTATTGAGTTGGATGGACACATTTTAAAACATATTAAATCTCCATATTGTGACTGGGTAGCGATTTATTAGTTAGCTATTGAGTTGGATGGACACATTTTAAAACATATTAAATCTCCATATTGTGACCGGGTAGGTGGCTCGGGGGGTAAAACATTTGGACTTGAGCTCAGATTAAGACAGACAAATGAAAGCAGATGTGGTGGTTAAGTGCCTGTAATTTGAGCACTGGGGACATGGGGACAGGGAATCCCTGCCTCTTGCAGTCCAGCCAGTCTAGCCGGCCGGTGAGCTCTGGGTTCAGTAAGTGACTCTGTCTCAACACTAGGGTGACGAGATGATTCAGAAAGACCTCAGGCCTCTACGTGTGCATCAGACCTGTGACGTCCCTCTGGAGACTGCGCAGCCCACCAGCCCAGATGACAAAGGTGTGGAAACCGAGGTGTTCTCAGAAGAAGACCCTCATTTACCCAAACAGAGTGCTCGAAAGGTAATATTCCCAGGGTACAGCTGGAGGAGCATGTGACTCCTCCACACAGTTCTCTAGAGTAGCCTTGTGGGACAGCATCGGAATGAATGAAGTCATGATTGCCAACGCTGAGTCTCAAACAAAGGTGTAAGCTAGTGTTGCTGGAGTTTCTTGTCCCGCCAGGTCCTGCTGCCCTTCTCAGCCACAAACACACACACAGACGCTATATTAATCATAAACTATTGGCCGATGGCCAGGGCTTCTTACTAGCTAGCTCTCTCTTAGTTATTAACCCATAACTATTTATCTATGTGTTTCTACATGGCCTTATGGTCTCCTGTAGGCTCTCTATGCCTATCTTTCCCAGAATTCTCCTCATCTCCTAGTCCTGCCTATCTTCCTGCCTCTATTGACCACACAGTGTTTTATTCATCAACCAATAAGAGAAACACATATGCAGAAGGACTTCCCCATCAAGTTAGGGTCTGTCAGTTTTGCTACACTGACATTTGGGGCAAGACAGCCCATTGCTTTCCTGGGGATTTCAGGGCGACTGCTGGTAATCCACGGCATCCACTAGATATCAGGAGTATCCCACTAGTTGCGACGATTACAAATGTCTTCAGTTCTGGGGAGATGGACCAGCCGGCAGATCGCTTGCCCAGGGACCTGAGTTTGATCTCCAGAGACCACACGAGAAGCCAGGCATTGTGGCAGATGCTTGCAAGCCCAGCACCGTGGAGGCAGAAGCAGGACAATCCCTGGGGCTCACTAGTCAGTCAGATTGTTAGCTCCAGAACTATGAGAGACCCTATCTCAAAAAAACCAAAAACCAAAAACCAAAAACCAAACCAAACCAACCAAACAAACAAACCAAGATGCCTAGGTTCTGAGGAGTGACTACCAAGATGGTGCTCTGTCTGGCCTGAGCGCGCGCGCACACACACACACACACACACACACACACACACACACACACACACACACACACACACTCCTTTATTTAAAAAAATGTCTCTAGACATTGCTGGAATGTCTCCTACAGGGTGGGGTTAAGTCCAGCCAGAGCCACTGGCCTCACCTATTATTCTGAGTTGGGATAGCTGAAGATTAGTCTCAGTAGAGTAGTTTTCTTATTATCTCTCCCTCTAATTGCCAGCCTATTAGGGTTATGATTTGTAGGGGAGAAGGGCTGCCCTACTGTGTACACATGTACCTGGCTGCTTATTAGCCATGGAGACGAGATACGTCTCTCTTGAAGTGAGGCTGATGGAGAACTTAATAGGAACTCCCAACAGGAGCAGCATGTCACTAACACCCTTGTGTCTGGAAAGCCTTTGCCTACTTGGCTCTAGCCTGGTCGTCTTGGTGACTGCCTCCCTCTCGCCCTGTTCTGATGTGCAGAACTCTGATGCTGCGAGTGCACTCTCAGAATGCAGCACCGTTGACCTGAATGATATCTTCAGAAATTTCCGGAATTTGGATCCCCCCAAAAAGCAACCAGATAGATGCTTGCCCAAAGGTAAGTGGTCATAGTTTTACGCACAGGTAGACGCTTGCCCAAAGGCATATGGCCATATTTTTGCCCACAGCTCAAGAAGTCCTTGTGTTCTCCGTAGCTTCGTGGTTTGGATGGATGCCTGTTTCTATCATGACTATTATTACATTATTAGACTCTGGTAGAGGGAATTTCAAAAGACTCTTGGCTAGGCATACCCCATTTACACAGCCCAACAAAGTAAATATCTGAAAGCCCACCTGGAGAACTAATTGGACCAACAGATCTGCTACTTTATAGAGTCCTTTGGACATCTGCTGTCAGAATGGATGGAGAGGAAGGGGAGTGGGGTTTGCAGGGCAATGTGGTCCATGATAAAGTGTGCCTATGTTGAGAGCAAAGGCTGCCTGTAAACCTCTTTACAATTGATGGAGTTCTCCCCTGTGTGGCTTGAGTCCACACAGCCTTGGAAGCCCTCACCTCAAGTTTCTTGAAACCCTTTGGGTACTGTTTGTATGTTACAACCTCCCTTCCCCACAGTTTTGGCGTAGTTAACAACCACAGATCACTGATGGCATCCAATGATAAATAGACCTTTGCATCAGTTGGCCTGGGCTGGGCATCTGCTGACGTTAGATGGCTTTGTTCATGTCAGTAGTATCAGTGAGGGGTTAGCAGATCTAGCCTGATTATGTGATCAAGTTGGCCCTGCTGCACATGGTTCACCTCCTGCGAGAATCAATGGGCTAGCCTGCAGCTGTTTCTATGAGAACCAATGGGCTAGCCTGCAGCTGTTTCTATGAGAACCAATGGGCTAGCCTGCAGCTGTTTCTATGAGAACCAATGGGCTAGCCTGTAGCTGTTACCATGAGAACCAATGGGCTAGCCTGCAGCTGTTTCTATGAGAACCAATGGGCTAGCCTGCAGCTGTTTCTATGAGAATCAATGGGCTAGCCTGCAGTTGTTTCTATGAGAACCAGTGGGCTAGCCTGTAGCTGTTACCATGAGAACCAATGGGCTAGCCTGCAGCTGTTTCTGTGAGAACCAATGGGCTAGCCTGCAGCTGTTTCTGTGAGAACCAATGGGGTGAGAACCAATGGGCTAGCCTGCAGCTGTTTCTGTGAGAACCAATGGGCTAGCCTGCAGCTGTTTCTGTGAGAACCAATGGGCTAGCCTGCAGCTGTTTCTGTGAGAACCAATGGGCTAGCCTGCAGCTGTTTCTGTGAGAACCAATGGGCTAGCCTGCAGCTGTCACCTTTTAAGAGTCGGCACAAGAGGGCAAGTGGAAACAGGCTCAGAGCTGGCGCACTGTGACTTCACCTCTTCCTGCTGGGCAGCGCAGCTGAGCCCAGGTTTCAGGCTTTGGAAAGAGATCGTCTCTGGTGGGGGAAGGAACAGTTCGCAAGGCGAGGGGCGTGAAGTGACCAGCCGAGGCTGCTAACGCAATTCACTCCAGACGCTAATGCCGCAAATGGTTCCTTTCAGGCCTCTGCTGTCACTTCCTATGCCACAAAACAGACAAGAGAAAGCCCCCCTGGGTTGTGTGGTGGAATCTTCGGAAAACCTGCTACCAAATCGTGAGGCACAGCTGGTTTGAGAGCTTCATCATCTTCGTCATCCTGCTGAGCAGCGGAGCCCTGGTAAAGGATGCTCTTGGGGAGGAGAGCGGGCGGGGCAGCTGGGAGGCACCGCCTCGTGACTGGGAACTGAGGGCTCCCTTCGCTGCGGGGCTCCTCCGTGTGCAGGGTTTCACACGCCTGCAGTCAGCGTCCCCATTCCGAGGTGCTTTCCCTGCTGGAGAGGATCAGCTCAGGCCAGTGTCCGGAAGGACCTTCTAATGCCTAGCCCTTGGACTTGGCCTACCCACCTGTTTCCCACTTCTGGAAGATTCCCAGACATCTCGACCGTATCACACACTTCAGACAGTTCCTCCTCTCACTTTTCCCTGAAGATCACGTGTTGCTGTCTAAGACAAGATATTAGGGGAAGGGCTACAGGGAAGAGAGCAGGACATAACCAGTTGCTTGGATACTTCCCATCACTTGTGGTCCCTTAAGGGACGAGAAGATGCTGTGTTCTGTTCACGATCCTTCCTGGTCAGGGTGTGATGTAAATCTCAGCAAGGCTGATGAGTAGCTCTGAGTCTCTCTGCCTTCAGGGAGGGTCAGGGTCCCCAATGTCTTTGTGCTCTCTCTCCACTCCTTCCAGCCACTCCCATCATCTCTGCAGCTTACCTTATTACGTACATACTTCCCTTTTTCTTTTTTTTTTCTTTTTTTTTTTTTTTTTTGGTTTTTACAAGACAGGGTTTCTCTGTATTGTTTTGGAGGCTGTCGGTCCAACCTGGCCTTGAACTCACAGAGATCCGCCTGCCTCTGCCTCCTGAGTGCTGGGATTAAAGGCGTGCGCCACCAACGCCCAGCTGCTTTTCCTTTTTGATTTAGTTCAAGACCCCAGCCATGGGCCGGAACCACCCATAGTCAGGGTTCTTCCCACCCAAGTGAAGACAGCCTACAAACCCTTCCTCTCAGACATGCCCAGAGCTGTGTTACCTAGTGATTCTAGACTGTTGACTCGACCACATTAGCCATCACAGGGGGCGACGAGGAGGGACCATGAGATCGCTGGGATAATGGAAATACGGACACAGAATGTTCCATATTTATTTAATCAAGAAATACACTTTATTGGAAAAGATCTGCCCTAATCTTTTTGTAGCAAAGCTTCATCACCAACATACCAACTAGTTTTTATTCACATAGAATATAAAAGAAGTTCAAAGTCAGCAAGGAGCTCTGCACATATCCAACCTGGCCAATGGCTATGCTTTGTTCTTCCAGATATTTGAAGATGTCAACATCTCCAAACGGCCCCAAATTGACCGGTTGCTAAAGTGTACTGACAATATCTTCACATTTATCTTCATCCTGGAGATGGTTCTAAAATGGGTGGCCTTTGGATTCCGGAGGTATTTCACCAGCGCCTGGTGCTGGCTCGATTTCCTCATTGTAATCGTAAGTTTACCGTCTCTGTGCCCTTTTGGGTTGGGGCAAGGGTGGGAGAGGGGACCATAAGGGGGGCTGCCTTTCCCGTGGTCCTGTCACCTGTCCAGCTGTGGTCCAGCCCCCTTGGACCCTTGCCTCTCACAGGTCTGTTTCATAAAACACCTGCCCCAAGCATCTCCACGATGACACCCCTCCACCCCTGTCTGAGCCCTGTTTGTGTCTGATGGAAAACCCAGAGGAACTTCAGGCATCCTCTATTTTTCCTTCTCCTTCCAACTTTTCTTTTCTTTTTCTGATGCTGGTGTTTAAGGAAGGAGGGGAAGGGTCACGTACATTATCTTACTCAGTGGGCACTACGATGGTTGGGAGCTCAGCAGCATTGTGGGATGTCCGCCACACCAAAGATACAGGCCCCCGCAGCTCAGAAGGTTAACAACTAGCTTCGGGCGCAGAACGCATTAGCGGTGATGCTGGGCTTTGCACCTGCAGGCCTGCAGTGCTGACATTAATAACAGCAGTGGTGGACGCGTTCTCAGCTTTCTCCGTATCGCTGTTGCCTTAACTTTTCCTGGGGAGAAACAATCAATGTCCATGTATTCATCCCAGATGGGCACCCACACACTAAAGTCCAACTTGCAGTCCAGCTTGGTGAGACCGATGAGTGTTGGGCTTTCTCAGAGTGTGTGGGTGACCCTTAGAACAGCTGCATCGCTGCGAAGTCCCGCCCCATCTGCAGGAAGGTGCATCATGGAGTCCTGCTGTCAATCAGACTTCCACTCCCTGTATACTCTAGGTGACAGGAGAGGGAGAGTGTCAGGTGAGGGAGCACCCATAGCTGTGTTTCCATAGACCTGGCTTGGCACTCTACCAGGCCGCTCTAGTTGCCATGACTACCAGGCACAAAGCCCAAGATGGCATCATGTTATGTCTGGAGAGAAAAAAGAAAAAACAAATCTTCCAACAGCCACATTTTCTGCCACCTGTGCCAAATGCCTTCTACTTGTCGTAGTCACTCTTTGTGGAAGGGCTTTCATTTTCGCCGTGCTCGGAGGAAGAGAGTAACCCCAAGGCTCTGAACTGCTCAAGACTACCTCCTAGGAAGGGGTGGAGGTGACCTCAAGCCTAGGAAGTCTCACTCCAGGGTGCAGAGCTTTGACAGGTACATTCTTCCCACCGTGATACGGGGGGACTGGGCCTGGTCTGCGCTTTTGAAACCTCAAGCACCCCTCCCCCACACTTCCTCCAACAAGGCCACACCTCCTAATCCTTTTAATCCTATCAAGCAGCTGGTTCCACTAACTATGAGCCATGGGGGCCATTGTTATTAAAACCACCAAGAGTACACACAAATCAACGAAGATTACATACGATGGGGGCCATCAGTTGGCTCAGCAGGTAAAGGAGCTTGCCCCCAAACCTATTTATAATCTAGGCACGTCACTTCCTATTATAGATCCAGTGGAAACTCTTGGATATGTACCCAAGAAAAACACACATGTCTGTCAGCTTATGATATCGTTTATAACAAAGGAAGGGAGGAAGCCTAGCCACTCCCCAAAGGAGAACAGGTCCATAAAATGTGACCTCTTGCGTCCTGTGATATCCCACAGCAGTTAGGACGACCTGAGTTCAATCCCCAGAACCTGTGTGGTAGAAGGAGACAGACAAGTCCTGCAAATTGTCCTCTGACCTCTGAGCTCCAGACAGTACCCTCCCACAATGAATAGATTCATAAATGGGGAAAAGTTTGGGAGAGTCCATATAATGATACCTATAATAATTTTGGAGTAGAAAAGCATAAACCTGAAACTTATAAATATGTAAGCCCGACTCCATGAAAATGTACCACTTATATCTTCTACTCAGCAAAGCTAAAATTGTAATTAAAGACAAATTAGACCCCAGGCCTTAGCATTTGTTGTGCACATGACAGGTATTGAATATGTTCGTAGTATATAAACTATTTAATACAGGAAGTTGACACCCAAAGGCGAGAGTGAGCAAAGGCACAGGCAGGAGAAACCCGGGCTGCTGACACGCGTGTGAATAATCGCTAACTCATCTCACGGGTCAGAACAGGAATGCTTCCCAAAGTGAGAGTTCGCATTACCCAGACTGGAAAACATTTTTTATGGTTGACACCTGAATTCAAAGAAGAGTATTGGGATTTTAAAATCTCTAATCACGGCTAACAATTTAATTGGAATAGCCATCATGGGGAAAGTTTTGCATTATCTGATAAAATTTACACATCGTGCCTATTTATAATCTAGGCACGTCACTTCCTATTATAGATCCAGTGGAAACTCTTGGATATGTACCCAAGAAAAACACACATGTCTGTCAGCTTATGATATCGTTTATAGCAGTTAGGACGGCGTGGGCCAGCGAGTTGGGGCACTGGGTGAAGGTGCCAGGTCACGCAGGAGAGAAGAGACGCCTGCCAGTTGTCCTCTGACTTCTACAAGTGTGGCTGAGTGTAGGTGCTCACATTCATACCAAAACATGGGAAGAAGGAGCAGCATGTGTATAATATACAGTATACAACTTACACTATACACCATGGGGAGGGGGGCTCAAAACAGAGCAGAATGATCAGTGCAAGTCAGGAAAAAATAAAAATAAAAACCAGAAGACCTGTCCTTTTGAGCAGCGACGGCAGTGGAGAAGATCGTGGCTGCTCTGAGTGAGAATCTGATGACTGTCTCCAGATTGGACGGAGCAGAAGCCAGCCTGAGGCTGAGACAAATAGGCGCAGAATGTCCCCGTGAGATGTCCCCTCCCACAATGAGAGTCTTGCTTTGCCTCTCCAGAACAGGCCACCTTCACTGGCCTTTCTGAGTAGAGTAGAGCAGAGGAGAGTTTTCTGGGAACTGCCTCAATACTCTCCCAACAAAGTAAAAAACATTATTTTAAATATGGTGCCTTCAAACACGTTTTACATTTTTTCCTACGGTGTGCATGCACGCGCGTGTGTATTTGTGTGAGTGCATCTAAGGGTTTGGATGTGTGCTGTGTGTGTTGAGCCTGAGCATGGCTGTCAGGACAGCCACAGATGTCTGTCCTCGGCTGTCTTCCATTTCTTGTCTGTTGGAGGATCTCTCCATGGCATGGAACCTCACTGTGCACATCAAGCTAGCTGACCTCCTGGAGGCTCCTCCTGTGCCTACCTTGCTGGGGACCCATGCTCAGGTGGCCGTTCATGAGAGGCAGGCACTTTCCTATTGTCTCCCCAGTGGGGACCCATGCTCAGGTCCCCATTCATGAGAGGCAGGCACTTTCCTATTGTCTCCCCAGTTCTAAATAAAAGCATTTAATGCTGGTCACAAATTTTGTCATCTAGCCACCCAACACATGTTCCTGCCCCAGTCTAGGATCTGATTTAGGATCTTGCCCTACGTATTGATGTCATGGCCATCGGGTTTCCTTGAATTCATACCAGTTTCTCAGTGTCTTTTGTGACTCAATTGCTCTTGCCCTGCCGGCAGGATCTGGCTTGTCCCTGTGCTTAACACCTCAGAAACAGGGTCCTTGATAGTGCTGGAGAAGATGATCATGTAAGTACGAGGGCTCTAAGTGTAGATTCCTGGCATCCGTGTAAAAACCAGGCACACATCTGTAATCCCAGAACTAGGGAAGCAGAGACAAGGGTACACTGGGCTTCACTGGCCCGTCATTAGAGACTCTGTCTCAAACAATAAGGCAGCGAGCAATTGAGAAAGACACCACAAGCTGACCTCTGGTCTCCACACGCGTGCACACAGACAGACAGACAGACAGACAGACAGACAGACACATGCATACACACCAAGGGAGGGAGGGAAGGAAGGAGGGAGGGAGGGAGAGAGAGAGAGAGAACGAGCCCTCGAGCCTGTGCTGGCAGCCCTGGCTGCCCAGGCAGTTGCCCTCACCAAGTGGCGTCTCCTCCCCCAGGTGTCTGTGGTCAGTCTCATGAACTTGCCAACCTTGAAGTCCTTCCGGACTCTGCGAGCACTGAGGCCTCTGCGGGCGCTGTCTCAGTTTGAAGGAATGAAGGTGCGTGCCCCAGGGGACGGGCGGAAACTTAGTTAACAGGACAGGCAGAGGTCAACTCTCCTCGGGCTTTGTCAATCTTTTACTGGGGTCCCACATAGCCAGACCCGGGTCTGGACCATGGGAAGTAGAGGAAAAAAATGTCTGTCTCTTGACAGCGGAGGCCGGCTCTGTCTTCCCTTCAGCATCGTAGGTAAAGGCAAGCCCTGTGTGTCTAATGTCATCTTCACAGAGCGCTCCTGAGGTCCTGCTTGGTGGCCGCATGAGCAGAAAGCAGAGCTCATTATGGGCTGGGAGAGGGATGATCAGAGTAAAGACAAAATAACTCTAGAGGTCCAGTCCTGCACGGTGGGTCCCATGAGGGAAGAAGGAGAGCATGTCGGGTGCCCTATCTGTTATATTTTCCTCTGTCTGCCTCCCTAAGGTTGTGGTCAACGCCCTCATCAGTGCCATACCCGCCATTCTCAATGTCTTGCTGGTCTGCCTCATTTTCTGGCTGATATTTTGCATCCTGGGAGTAAATTTCTTTTCTGGGAAGTTTGGAAGATGCATTAACGGGACAGATATAAATAAATACTTCAATCATACCGAGATTGGAAACCGAAGCCAGTGTGAAGGTAGCAATTACTTGTGGGAGGTCCCGAAAGTCAACTTTGACAACGTGGGGAATGCCTACCTCGCTCTGCTGCAGGTGGTAAGTGCTTTGCGTCTGTCTTCATCCAGGAAGAGAAAGCTTGGAAGCCTGATCATCCCTAAAATCATATTAGCTCACGGAGACTGTGGATTGTAGTCCCACTCACAGGGGCGGCATGGGGGTGGGGTGGCGTCTTTGTGAATCGGCTTTCATGGAGAGTGTCTAGCTTAGTAACTTCTCTCATTCCTTTGACAAACCACCTGACACATTAGTGTCCATTCTATTGCTGTGCCAAAACACCCAACAAAAGGCACGGGAGGGGTGGCAGGTTATAAATCCTCAAAGTCCGTCCCCAGTGACACATTTCTTTCAGCAAGGGTCCACATCCTAAAACTCTATGATCTGCACCAACAGCGGAGGGCAGGGGGGGCAAACGTTCAAACACACGAGCCTATGGGGGTATTTATCGTTTAAACCGCAGCACCTGACAAAAGCAACTTAAGGCAGGGTTATTTTCATCCACGGTTTGAGAAACTAGACCACCACGGTGGGGAAGACGTGGTGGAAATTCTCTAGAGTTGGCAGTAGGAACGCGAGGCAGCTGGTCACTGGCTCTGCAGTCAGGAGCGGACCAAAAGAGACCGACGGCGGCGCTCCGATCGCCTCTTTCTTTTCATTCACTCGGGGACCCCACCCTGTGGGATGGCGCCACACACACTCAGGATGAGTCTTCTCCTCTCAGCTAAGCCTCCTTAGAAACCCCTTCACCACGTGCCCCTAGGTGATTTCAGAGGCAGCTGAGCTGACGGTGAAGATTAGCCATCGCACATACCAATACCCCGTCAGGGTCCCTTCGGCTTGCCTTGTCCTCTGTGGCACCTCGATTGCCGTTGAGGGCATCTGCCAGGAATCAGCGTCTTTTGTCAATACCTGTCTTTTCTCGCCGCAGCAGGCAGGCGTCGGGCGGGTAGCATAACCATGTGCTGTCAGAAAGAACCTTACCCCTGTCTTCCCAAGCGACCTAGAGTGTAGCAATTCATTTTTGTTTTAGGATCACTAGTCTTGGGGGAAATGAGGAAAAAAGAGAAAATGCAGGACCCCCCATCCCCCACCGGCGTTCCTCCCTACCGCTCTTTTGTGGGGACCTCTCTCTGGGGAGGGATGGACACCTGCCCACAAGGCTTGGCAGGCTTTTGCATGGCTCACTACTGCCAATGAAACAGTCTACAGCTGTGTCCGTGTTTTTCTCTCTGTCTGTTCCAGGCGACGTACAAGGGCTGGCTGGACATAATGAATGCCGCTGTCGATTCCAGAGGGGTGAGTAGATGCCTCACTGTGTTCTAGAACATTACGCTCAAACCAGAGATATTACCAGTACCCCGACAGCCCCAAACTTCCTGCATGGCAACTTTATCATCCCAGATCCTCTGTCGTGTTCTTCTGGAGGCAAAACTATGGCACAGGCGTTGCTTGGTAAAAAGAGAGCTCTAATGTGCTCTGCTGGGCCCGACCCCCCAGTGTTCTGTAGAGTCCAACGTTTCCTCTATGTGGTAAGAGAAGAAATGAAAACTATTCGCTGAGTTAAGAGGATCACACGTGTCCTCACTTGCTTTCTGTTGCTGCTATAGCACGATGACCAAACCAACTTGGGCGAGGGGGAGGTTTTTTGTTTGTTTAAGCTTACAGGCAACAGGCTGTCGTTGAAAGAAACCAGAGCAGGAGCTCAAGGTAGGAACCTGGACCTACAAACTGAAGCAGTGGCCCCAGAGAGAAACTGGCCTGCTTCTTGTCCTTCCTAGGGTCACCACTGCTGTAGTGAAACTCGTGGCCGAAAGCAACGTGGGGAGGAAATGCCTTGTCTGGCTTGCACGTCACAGCCCACTGAGGGGAGAAGCAAAAGTAGACACCCAAGTCAGGCAGGAACCTGGAGGCAGGAGCTGGTGCAGAGGCCACGGACGGGGGCTGCTCACTGGCTCGCTCTCCATGGCTTGCTCAGCTGCTTTCTAAAAGCACCCAGGATCCCCGCAGCCCAGGGATGGCCCCATCCATAATTGGCTGCGTCCTGCAGGTTTGCCTGCAACCCCATTTTATGGAAACATTTTCTCAGTCAAAGCTCCCTCCTCTCCGGTGACTCTAGCTTGTGTCAAGCTGACATAAAACCAGCAAGCACACTTTCTCTGGCTTGATCAGCTACGCTCCTTATACAACTTGGGTCCACCTGCCTAGGGATAGGTCCTCCTGCTTCAACTAGGAATTAAGAAAATGCCCTACAGACTTTCCCCCAGGCCAACCTGACAGCAGCAATTGTCAGCCGAGGGTCCTTCCCAGGCGACATTGGTTTGTGTTGAGCTGACAGAGTCTAAGCGTTGCAGACGCTAGCTTGTCTCCAAGAGACAGAGAGGAGGGAACCACCTTTCAGAGTCTGCGTGTCTTAACCTCGGGGAAGCATTAAGACTGGATTAAACTGGAGCAAGAAAGTAACTTCTCAGGGCTTCAGGCTCTGGGGAGTAAAGGTCGTGGTTGCCACCTGTGGAATTTCAGTGAAAGAGGAAGCTGGAAATGCACTTGGTAGTCTAGTCTGTTTCCTGTTCCTCATTTGGTTCAGTGAAAGGATGGGAAGGGAGTTACCGGAGCTGGACAGTGAGCAGATGGCGGTGGGGGAAGTTTTCTTAGTTTCTTACCATGACACGTGTGGTTACTGCATTGGGGGGATCTACAGAGTTGATGCCTGAGGTGTAGTGAGGACCGTAGACAGAAGCAGGAGAGAGGAGAGTCTTCATGGCTAACTGTTTTCATCATGCTCCACAGACTGACATTTATACGTAGATAACGCATAGTGACAAATCACTTAGCTTAATTCTCAGTACATTAATAAAGTCTCATTCCCGGAAAGCCAAAGCTAATAGTAGGTACTTAAATGTTAATGTTATAATTTATTGTAATGTTTATATCCCGATTATATATGCCATATATACAATTTAAATGTCTATTTTTTAATGTATCGCTTGTGTGCATGATACGTGTGCATGAGTGAGGACCAGAGTTTGGATCCCCAGAATCCACATAGATGCTCGGTTGGCATGGGAACATTCCCTGCCTGTGATTCTAGTACTTGGAAGATGGAGATGGGATCCTAGAAGCAAGTGAGCTGATAGACTCGCTATACTGGGGAGCTCTGGGTTCAAATGAGACTCAGCCTGAGGTAGTGAGGCCTGGAAAGATGGCTCAGTGGGTAACTTTTGCCATCAAGCCTGACAACCTGAGTGTGATCCCTCTGACCCAACTCCTCCAAGTTGTTCTGGCCTCTAAACACATACTATGGCGTACTTACACACACACACACACACTCACACACATGCACACACATACACACACACGCTGATATATATCATATATATGTAGATAGATAAACATAAATTTAAAGGCACATGCACAACACGTGTGAAAAAGCATAGACATATGCATGCATAACAACACACATGTTCTTAGACAGACAGACAGACAGACAGGCAGATGAGTGAGAGAGAGAGAGAGAGAAGCCTGGCTGAGAAGACTCTTGAGTGGTTCGAGGCAAGCTGGGAAAGCGTGTGTGTCATCAGCTTTTAACCACACAGGAGCTCACTCTCTCTCACTCACTCATTCGGGGTTCGTTCCTGTGCCTCGAGAAGCTACTCATGAGAAGGTGAGCCAGGCTCTGGCAACTCACCATCGAGAAGACACAGCCACAGGCAGAATGTTGACATCTAGGAGGTGGGGAACAGCCGTGTAACAGCCGTGAAAGTCCGGTCACCTCTTCCTGAGGCGGACGTGTCCTGGGCCGGGCTCATTCTCAAAGGAGTATCTGTACAGACGCATTTGGGAGACTTTCAGAAGACAAATGCCACCACATTCCTCCCTCTTTTCGTCCCTTACTGCTTCTCAGTGTTGGGGAGAAAAGCCCTTAACTCCTGACTCCTGTGTCCCCACCCTGTGCACCTTGAGCCAAGCAAGAAACCCAAAGAAGAGGCGCCCAGGGGTTCACAGCTGCCAGCAAGATGCTATGTGGTTAAACTTGCTGGGGAAATCCACTCTGGTCTTCCGGACAAGGCAGCTAGGGCAGCTTGAATTTTCTTCAGCAGTTGTCTTTCTCTCATTAAAATGTCCCCAACAGAAAGATGAGCAGCCAGACTTTGAGGCGAATGCCTTTGCGTATCTCTACTTCGTGGTTTTTATCATCTTCGGCTCGTTCTTCACCCTGAACCTCTTTATCGGCGTTATTATTGACAACTTCAACCAGCAGCAGAAAAAGATAAGTATGCACGCTGGCCCAGCTGGGCTGCTTCCCCCAGTTCTGCCAAGGTGGTGAGGGAATGTGGTTGTCACGTACAAAGCCCTTCATGGTGCCATTGTGATCTACTCGCCGCATCCAGGCATCTCCAGGCATCTCGGCTCCTCTAGCCTGGGGTGAAGACCCGAGAGGTCTCCTTGAAGCTGAGGGAATGGAGTCTGGATTCTGCTCAGGCATGGTGTTTGAGCCCTGTCCTAATTCAGATCATTATTGCCAAGTATCAGGCGCTGCTAACTGGCCCTGAAGAGAATAGCAACTAGCATGATTAGCACGTGTGACACTGTAGTCACACACCAGCAACCTCTCAAGAGTATTTTGTTATCCACAATGAAGGGAAAAGGGTTTCCTCTCTTAGTTACCGTGGCTCCCACCAGCCTGGATCTCCTGAAGCTGCTCTGATAGATGACTGAGGGAGATGTCATCTAGGCAGGTTTCTGTCCCAGGCAATGACAATCTGATATTTCTTTTTCTGATGCAGACAATCTCTGGACTAACATTGCAAATTAAGGAAAATAAAAGGAAATTTAGATCTATTTACACCAGTCATCAAATGATGATCACTTTAGACAATGCCTCACCATTTTGGCATAATTTTGAATAATCCTCTTCAGCTAAAAAAATTATTATTTTTTTGTTTTATGTGTGGTGCGGTGTGCTTGAATGTATGTCTGTGTACCTCATGTGTGCAGTGCTCAGGGAGGCCAGAAGAGGGCGCCGGATCCCCTGGAACTGGAGTTAGAGAGGTTGTGAGCCATCATATGGGTGCCGAGAATTGAATCCAGTTCTTCTTTAAGAGCAACACGTGCTCTTAATCACTGAGCTATCTCTCCAGCCAACTTCTTACTCTTAACTTTGTGTGTGTGTGTGTGGGGTGTGCATGTGTGTGCGCGTGTGGGTGTGTGCATGTGTGTGCATCTCCTTATCTTATAATTTTGGGGTGTATGAGCTCATTAGTCATAGCTTATTTTATAAAACCAATTTTGCTGTAAGAATTTTCAGGGCTGGAGAGATGACTAAGTGCTTAGGAGTGCTTGCTGTGCAATCATGAATATCTTATTCATCACCTTGCTCTGACTAACCTCAGCGTTCACAGGACGTCCTGTGCTGCTGCCCCACACGCAGCCTTACAGTCCTCTGCACGGCGAGGAGGCGTGGCTTTTGCACCCTCTGTGACAAATGTCCTGATTGCCATCAATACCAGCAATTTGGATCTCAGCCTCGCGGCAGCTTCAACTTAGCCCCTCTGCCAGAAAGCCTTTTGTGGATCACACGGCAGCATCCTTTTGTTTTATTATTATTACTACTACTACTATTATTATTATTATTTATTAGGGGGAATTTCAAAAGTGTCCAAGAATATTCTAGAATGATTCTAAAACACCCAGCGCAGCATTGGCTCCTGAAGAACATACCCTTCTGCCAGTGGTGCCTTTTATTACAGAAAAACAAATAACCGTCCCAGGAAGAGTTAAATTTCAGAGTCTGCTGTCTGGCGTTGATTTTTTTTCCCCTCCAGACAGGGTTTCTCACAATGAAACCAGGCTGGTCTCAAACTTTTTTCCAAACTTGTCCTTAAACTCTGTTTACTATTATTGTACGTACGCATGCACGTTGCTGGTGTTCATGGGACGTGTAGGAATCAGAGATGGCTTTGTGGAGGCAGTTCTCTCCTTCAGCCTTTGTGTGGGTTCTGGGGCTCGAACTCGGGTCTCCAGGGTTGTGAGGCAAGCCCCTTTTACCTGCTGAGCCATCTTGCTTACCCACATGCCTGCTTTCAAACATACCCACAAGGTCACTACACTGCCTAAGAAACTTTACATGCATTCCTCAGATTCATCAAGTCATCTCTATTTAGGTCGCCACACCCTTTAATTATCCTTGTTAAGGCAGCCAGTGCTGTGGCTGCTGCTGTTGTTGCCATTACCATTCCTGTTGTTGATTTTTTTTCTTGAGACAGGCTAGCCTGTAGCTCACAGGCTAGCCCAGGCTGGCCCCAAACTCACAACAATCCTTCTGCCTCAGCTCCCAAGCGTGCACAAGCTTTTTTTTTCAAAGTTAGTATATAAAATAATGAATTTCATTTTGGCAAATTTTTGGGTGTGTCTCTGTATGTGGCGTGCACGGATGCCTCCCCTTTGGTCTCTAGTTCTGTTAATTAAAGATTTATTTATTTATTATGTATATAGTGTTCTGGCATGCATCCCTCCACAGCAGAAGAGGGCACCAGCTCTCATTACGGATGGTTGTGAGCCACCGTGTGGTTGCTGGGAACTGATCCCAGGACCTCTGGAAGAGCAGCCAGTGCTCTTAACCTCTGAGCCATCTCTCCAGTCTCAATTAGCTGTTTTTTTAAATCTTAGAAAGACTACCAGTGACTAAAAGTCTTGCTCATTCTCTCCAAGAGCCTAGCTTCGTTTCTTCATTTCTTCACGTTGTCCTCTTACTTCCGTTTTCTCAGTCTCTGCCATGATCCACCTCCTCTCTTCCCGTCTACTGATTTGCTCTCGTTTTTTCTCAGTCCTTTGGGCAGACCCATCGTCAAGTTCCTCACTTGAGATCACTGACTTTTTTTTTGACACAGTTATTCACAGCTACCTTTAATTTTCCTGAAAGATTTATTAATTTTTATCTTTTTATTCCTTTCTTTATATTAAAGTTTTGGGTCCAAACAGGATTCATATGAAACAAGTCCCTCCTGTGTGGCAGCACTTTTGTATCTGGTACGACAGGAGGACCCAGGCTTAAGTTGGATCCCCTTTCCCTCTGTTTACTAATGCATGCTGGGGGTTTTCAAACCACATTTGGTATAGGCACTGTCATTGTTTCTAGGTCTTTTCAGAGAGAGGCGGGGGAGAGAGGGAGAGGGAGAAGGAGAGAGGGACAGAGAGAGAGAGAGGCAGAGACAGAGACAGAGAGAAGCTACAAGGAAACACATGTAAAAACCAATGTCTAATGGTTCACTCCCCCTCTCTCTTCTGGTGTGTTTCTTTCTCTTCTTTGCACTGAGAAACTTGGTCTCAAAGCACAGAGGATGTTGGACAATTGAAATTTCTGCAGGCAGAGGCTGGAGAGATGGCTCAGAGGTTAAAGGCAGGCATAGCTCTTGCAGAGGACCAGAGTTTGGTTCCTAGCACCTAGGTTGAGCAGCTCACAAATGCCTTTAACTCCAGCTCCAGGGCATTGGACGCCCTCTTCTGGCCTCCGTGGGCTACTGCACTCACGTTAACATACCCACACACAAACACATATGCGTCTTTTAGCACAAAAATAAATATTTTAAATATCCACAGTTACTCGTTGTCTTTATCCCAGGCATATGTCTTACAGTCTCAAGAGGTCAAGTTAACACTACTATAATGAATATGACTTATTTCTACCCAGTATCCAAAAGTAACCAGGTAGCTAGGCTGACTTCTAGAACTGCGCAAGCTTCGGTCCACATGATAGAATTTAAACCCAAGCCCTGCAGATACAAGTCTGTAGTTATATGATCAGAGAAGAGCAGCCTTTTACTGCTAGTGGGAACTGATTTCTTGTTGGCTTTCATTGTCCAGTAACATTTTCCTTCCCTTTAAAAAAGATGCATGCAGTACCTGAAGGGCCCAGAAGGGGGCATGGGATCCCCTGGAGCTGGAGTTGCAGGTGGTTGTGAGCTGCCTGACGTCGATGCTGGGAGCCAAGCTTAGGTTCTCTGCAAGAGCAGTTCACTATTAACCATTCCAGTAGTGGCTTTGGGACAAACTAACCATTTTGTTTCTTATCTCTTAATTTTCAGAGCCTAGAGACTTTTAAAATCAAACTTCTGTAATAATTCAGTTACATATTTCTAAAGAAGTCTGTTCTATTTAATCTGACATTTCTCGATTTTTTTTGTCCCATAAATTTCTAGAAATGAAAATCCTAGCTTGTTTTTCTTATTAGCAATGAGACTATTTAAAACTCATTTTTCCCCTTAAGAATTGTTCTGAGAAGATTCTAATTAACTTTTACTAGAAATGTTGTGTTAATTATTTAAGATAATCTCAGTACCATTTTATAGTACTTTCCTCTCTTTTTAAAATTTCACCCAGTTGTTTGTACATATTAATTGTGGGTTCATGTTAACTGGCTTGCTCATCCATGTATATAATGTGTGTTAGTCATACCCTTCCCTCCATTACCCCTCCCTCCACGAATCTCCTTCTATGGGATTTTATTCTCAGATTTTTGTAGCTGACTTCAATTAGAGCATTCTAACATAAAATATTTTCTATTATGCATATTTTAATTCATGCAAGATGAACTGTATTTAGTTTTCACAAAGACTCTGTAGTATGTTCATTAAAATGTGTAAACTTTGTGTTCTAAAAAATGAGCTATAGAACTGATTGAATTGACTTTATTTCTCTTTTATCCCTTATTTTATTTAATTTATTTTTTCAAGACAGGGTTTCTCTGTATTGCTTTGGAGGTTGTTCTGGAACTCACTCTGTAGACCAGGTTGGCCTTGAACTCACAGAGATCCATCTGCCTCTGCCTCCTGAGTGCTGGGATTAAAGGTGTGCGCCACCAACGCCTGGCCTATCCCTTATTTTAAAATCAATTTTCCTTCTGGTTCCTGAGTCCATATTCTTTCAGTTCCCTGTGGAATAGGAACTATTGACAAGAGTGACATGCAACTTTAAAATTATTCCTAAGAATTCAGGACTTGATTTGTAAAAATGGCTAGCAGTAACTAACTAGCTGTCGGTTTCTCCGTGTACTTAGGTGGCCAAGACATTTTTATGACCGAGGAACAGAAGAAATACTATAATGCAATGAAAAAATTAGGAACCAAAAAACCTCAGAAACCCATCCCAAGGCCACTGGTGAGAGCAACTGACACTAAATACACACGTGGGATTCAAGACTGTGAGGGCACGGGCTTCTAGAATACCTCCTGCTAACTTTTAAAGGAAGTATTCTTTTTATCATTTTTTAAATTACTTGTGCAAGTGTGTCTCTGTGTTGTGTGTTCATATGAGGGCAGTGTTTACAGAGGCCAGAAGAGGGTACATTTAATTTTCTTTCTACAGGGTCTCCCTGTGTAGCTCTGACTAGCCTGGAACTCATTATGTAGACCAGGCCACCTTGACCTCACAGAGACCCTCCTGCCTCTGTTTCTCAAGTGCTTGGGATTAAAGGTGTGCGTCACTACATCCAGCAAAAATAAATCTTAAAAAATTAAAACTTGAAAAAAAAAACCCAATGTCCAACGTCACCCCCAGTCATCCTATGTAGTCCTCCATCTTTGGTAATTTGGGACTGGGATGCTGTTTTTCTAGTGTATTCCAACCAGGACTAACAACCGACGTTAATGCAGAAGTTGCTGAAGTGCTAATTATTCTGAATGGACAAACAGAGCCTTGTAGATAGATGTCTGTTCCATTTTGTCCCCGATAGTAGATGTTCTTTGTGTCCTTCTCTCGGGTAAATGCAGATGTGGACATCGAGGCTTATCTTTATATTGTTGAAGCCCACAAGAGCTGTTTTATCTCAGACTCACACCACCATCATCACAACACTCTCCATCACAGCACTGAAATTGTGTTGTTACTGAGGACAATTTTTACTTACGTTTTTGTTTTAAAGTAGAATTAAAAGTAAAGCCTAAGTACGTAAAACATTCACCCAGTTGAACTTGAAACAAAGTAACATTGGGAAGCTATACGAATGTCTTGTCCTTTGAAGGGGTCTGTGTATATTCCAAGGAACTGCCTTTATTGTAAAAGAAAACAAATTTTGTTATTTCAATGGCATAATTTCATTCTTTCTTTTTCCTCCTCAGAATAAATGTCAAGCCTTTGTTTTCGACCTGGTCACAAGCCAGGTCTTTGACGTCATCATTCTGGGTCTTATTGTCCTAAATATGATTATCATGATGGCTGAATCTGATGGCCAGAGCAATGATGTGAAGAAAATCTTTGATATTCTCAACATAGCCTTTGTGATCATCTTTACCATAGAATGTCTCGTCAAAATGTTTGCTTTGAGGCAATACTACTTCACCAATGGCTGGAATTTATTTGATTGTGTGGTCGTGGTTCTTTCTGTCATTAGTAAGTAAAACCAGTAGCCAGGGCTTCCCAGGGTGAGGCAGAAGTAAACCCGGAAGCTAATCATTTGGAAGCCTGTCAAGTTTCCCCACAGAGTGACAGATTAGACTTAGTGCAGAGTCTGGGGGGAAAGTGGGGAGGGCTATGGAAGGCGTGCCCTGTTGGGAATTGCCGCAAGGCAGTGACTTCCATTTTCTTGACGCAAACAGCTGCATGTGTTTGAACGGAGGGACACGAAGTCTCTGCACTAACAGCTTTTGCAGGGGCTCCTGACCTCTCAGGTGGCTGAAACGGAATTCTACCTCTTCTGTGCTGCCATCAGCCCTGATGGGTGGTTTGAGGTTTTAGGAGTTTGGCCATTAGTACTGCTGTTGGTACCTGTGTTCAAACCCTCAAGGGCGCACAAGGGCACCACAGCAGCTGTTGAAGCATGTGGCGTTGCTGGGCATCCTCGCCTCACGTGATAAGCGGTACCTGTTCTTCATCCCGATCCCGCGTTTGGGAGCCAGGGCGTGGGCTGGGCATGCCTCGGTTGCTTTGACCCACTCACCCACAAGCCTCTTTCTGTAATCCATGGAGTTTTCATAACCACAGACATGCTGCATAAACCATAAAACTGAATGAGAAAAAATTATCATCATGTACTTTATTACCTTCTTTTCTGTTTTCTTTCTTTTTTTTGGATTTTTAAAAGATTTATTTATTTATTATATATATTTATTGTGTATAGTGTTCTGCCTGCATGTATCCCTGCGTGCCAGAAGAGGGCGCCAGATCTCATTACAGGTGGTTGTGAGCCACCGTGTGGTTGCTGGGAACCTAACCTCTGAGCCATCTCTCCAGCCTCCTAGAATTTTTTTTCTATTACTTAAAAATTATGTGTATGGGTAACCAAGGAGACCACGGCCAAAGACACCGACTATCTCTGGACCTGGAGTTACAGGTTGTTGTAAGCCCCTGATATGGGTGCTGGTGACCAGTGCAAGGGCACAGCAGGTCCTGCTCTTCATCTCTGGGCCGTCTCTCCAGCCCTCTCTTACTCTTTTCCCCAGTGCTGGGACTCAAAACTCATCCTTGTGCATGCTAAGTGTACTTCTGAGTGGCCAAACCATTAGAGTTTATTTGTGTCTCTAAAGTTTGATTTTAGCTAATTCATTAATTTGACTGTTTCCTTTTTTCTTTTTTGAGGAGGAATGTTAAGATGATGTCTCACTCAAGTCCAGGTTGTCATGGAATTTGCCATATAGCTTAGGCTGACCTCAAATTCATTTAGCCCTCCTTCTTCAGCCTTCCAAGTGCTGAGATTATAGGTGTGAGCTGTCCCATCTGACGTGTGTGTGTGTGTGTGTGTGTGTAGTGGGGCCCATGAGGCATCCTCATAGTTCAGACAGCAACGGAGACAAGGAGAACTGATCTTACAGACATGTGCTTCAGTCCCATTTTGGAAAGGCTTTGTCACAGGTGTTAGATCTGTGTGTTGGTTGCACTTGCTACCAAGTGATTGTGTTAGGGTCTGCCTGGGTTCAAAGCCATGAAATTTATACAGATAGTTTAAATAGGCCCAAGTTCTGGCAGCAAAATAGAACTATGATCTTCAGTAGTCAGTCCCAATCACAAGTTGGGGTGAAGCGGCATCAGTAGAAGTTAGACAATGTTGATCAGAGGAATCTGGGGCCCCCCCCCGCCCCCCCCCACACGAAGGGAGTGCCAGGAACCCCTCTGCCCACATGCAAAGGAGCCATCATTCTGTCCCCCCCTTCCAGGACGTGCTGGGCTTTGTAAAGCTGCTACAAATGTCTCTGGGATCCTTCCAACAGCTCCTAGGTGGCTGAAGTCACACGTGCCACTAGAAATTTTGCTCCAATGCCTAGTGCAGGACAGACTCTTCACATGCAGCCAAGTTCTGTTCACCGGTGTGGGCAGAAGTCCAGGTGCCTTTACGTGGCCACATTCAACACCTGGCCTGCACACTTCCCCAGGCTCCTTCCTCGGCTGCTGCAGTGAGCAGGAAGCCTCTCTCTCCCTGGGAGTCAGCAGTGTGACTGGTGGGCAGCACTCACTCGTTTTAATTTGAATACCAAGTCGTGTGGTTCACATATACACACTCACACACACACACACACACACACACACACACACACACACACACACAGAAAGGACAGGTTCATACAGGCCTGATGAGTCCAGGTGGTATTTAAGGCTGGGCCTGACAGGGCTGGTGTTGCAGAGTTGATGCCATCAGATCTTGTCAGCACAGAGCTATCACACACTCAGATGATGAGGTGCAGCCAGGGAGGTCTCTGTAGTCATCAGGAGACCGGCAGAAGCATTTCACTGTCGTGCTCCCTAATGACCTCAGGGCAAGGGGAAAACCATGTCTACACAAGGCAAGCATGTTCCAGCCATTCTATAATATTTGGGCCAAAATGTAAACTCCTAACGCCCCTTAGCCCTTGCCTGCTCAGCAGGGAAGGCGAGAACAGGGTGACATTTTAGGCCCAAATATTCATGAGTTTGCACAAAGCTCTGTTTGGGGCTCCCTTTCTGTCTCTCAACTTCGACTCTTTGTGAGCCTGGGCACCACAGTGGTCCTCAGAGTGAGCAGAATGCCGATCAGGAGAGCTCAATGTGCAGCTGTGGGCTACAGAGGGACACCTCAGGACTGTCACCTCCCTCCAGCGCCCCCACACAGCAGTTAGTCTGTCCTCATCTGCAGAGGGCTGTGGGGAAGCCTAGATGGAGGAGCGCTTGCCCCTTCCAATAAAACCTAGGTCTCTCCGATTCCACAATTTCCCGCTGTAGCTCAAACAAGGCTTAAGCCAAACTCCAACAGAAACTTCTCCATGCCCTCTGAAAGATTCAGCATGTGAAAAAAAAAGGGCCTGTTCTCCATCTGCATTCAGTAAGCAGGTTCAACCGTGGTAGGTGTTGTCCCATGGGTAGCTAAAAAGAAAATGCAGCATAGGTTAAAAACAAAACAAAACAAAACAAAAAACCCTTTATAGACTGCCACAGTTCCCTTACTTATCTTGGATGGCATGCATATCCTCACCCCCCCCCCCATCAAAAGTCCCATCCAAGACTGCTTGGCCCTTAGAGATGCATTTTTCAAACTGAAGCCAGGCAGACATTTCTTAGTTTTGCGCATAAACGATAAAGCATAGGTAACACCTTGACCCCGGTGGGATTCTGAGGCGGAGGACTGGCTGGGGTCAGAACTGCGGTGCATGCCGGGGGTTCACTGGTCCTCCCTCCCCAGGTACCCTGGTGTCTGGCTTGGAGCACAGTGACATCCCTTTCCCGCCCACGCTCTTCCGAATCGTCCGCTTGGCACGCATCGGCCGCATCCTCCGACTGGTCCGGGCGGCGCGAGGCATCAGGACGCTGCTCTTCGCTCTGATGATGTCGCTCCCCTCCCTCTTCAACATCGGCCTCCTGCTCTTCCTCGTCATGTTCATCTACGCCATCTTCGGCATGAACTGCTTCTCCAAGGTGGAGAGGGGCTCTGGGATCGACGACATCTTCAACTTCGAAACATTCTCAGGCAGCATGCTCTGCCTCTTCCAGGTGACCACGTCCGCTGGCTGGGACGCCCTCCTCAGCCCCATGCTGGACTCAAGAGCCGCCACCAACTCCTCCTCCCAAGACAGCTGCCAGCAGCCGCGGATAGCCATCATCTACTTTGTCAGTTACATCGTCATCTCCTTCCTCATTGTGGTCAACATGTACATCGCCGTCATCCTGGAGAACTTCAACACCGCCACGGAGGAGAGCGAGGACCCTCTGGGCGAAGACGACTTTGAAATCTTCTACGAGATCTGGGAGAAGTTTGACCCCGAAGCAACGCAGTTCATCCAGTACTCGGCCCTCTCCGACTTCGCCGACGCCCTGCCTGAGCCGCTGCGCGTGGCCAAGCCTAACAGGTTTCAGTTTCTAGTGATGGACTTGCCCATGGTGACCGGCGATCGCCTCCACTGCCTGGACGTTCTCTTCGCCTTCACCACCAGGGTCCTCGGGAACTCCAGTGGCTTGGATACCATGAAAGCGATGATGGAGGAAAAGTTCATGGAGGCCAACCCTTTCAGGAAGCTGTACGAGCCCATCGTCACCACCACCAAGAGAAAGGAGGAGGAACTGTGCGCTGCGGTCATCCAGAGGGCCTACCGAAAACACATGGAGAAGATGATCAAGTTGAAGCTCCAAGGCAGGTCCAGTTCATCACACCAGACAGTTTGCAACGGAGACCTGTCTAGCTTGGAGGTGGCCAAGGTCAAGGTTCACTATGACTGAGCCCTGCTCTCCACCCCTACACCTCACAGCCTAGCGTCCAACCTCCGAGCTCTGGAGGTCCGCAGCTCAGTCTACGAGCAGGCAGCGGGCTCACTGAATGAGCCATTCCATTTTTATTTTTTTTCTCGGCTAAAAGAGGTGGTGTATTAGCGTTAATTTATAAATGATTCTTGGAGGGTTATAAGATAAGGTTACCCACGAAGCGCTGGGACCGATTTAATGGAGAAAAGACATTGGGAAGGGCTGCCAAGGGCGTCCACAGTAACGGTAGGCTTGAAATACAGTTCAAATTATGTAAATATAAAAGAATGAGAAGGAAAAAAATCACATGAAAATCTAAGGTTGTGTTCTCGGTACATTTCCCAACATGTTTGTTTAATGTTTCGTGTCTCTTTTTTTGCATGTTAAGCGAGAAGTCAAAACCTGTAATAAGCAAATAGCTTGTTGCAGATGTCTCTACCAGCACTGAGTAGCTCAAGCCTGAAGCATGATCCTGACTTTGCCAGTTAGCGATGTTTCCGGAAGCTCTGACCTCTGTCACAGGTGTTTAACAAATAAATAGATAAGCGAAACATCAGCTTGTATTTCATTGGGACAGGGGGCTGAAATGTCCCTCTTGGTGGTGGCTGTGCAAGCTGTGGTTTAATAATGCCTGGAGCCAGACGTCTGTCAGGAAGGTGTTAGCGGTGGGCTCTTCACAAGGAAGAGACCCGTGTCTCGCAGTCACAGATTGTTGCGAATGCCCCTACCATGACTGGTTCCCAGCTGCAAACGCAGAAGTGACTGGATGAGGAGTTGAGAAGAAAGGCATGCATCAAATGCGGGAGAGCTAGCCTGACCTGGCTGCAGCCCGCCATGTGCTGGAACCCACGAGGATGTCCAGTCGACTCTGGCTAAAGTACCTGCAGAGTTGGAACTGGGGACTGGGGATGGCTCAGTTGGGAACTTGGTTGCTGGGCAACCGTGAGGCCCCGAGTTGATCCACAGCACTCCTGGAACTATATCAGTCATGTAGGGGTGTCACCCCCCCTGTAATCCCAGCACCTAAGGAGACAGGGTGGTCTAGTAAGTTCTCAAAGTTGACTTGACACAATCTAGCGTGACTTGGGAAGAGGGAACTTGGAAGAATTGCCTCAATCAGGCTGCTCTTTGGTCAGGTCTATGAGAAACTGTCCTGATCGATTTGGGAGGACCCAGCCCACTGTGGGAAGCACCATCCCTGGGCAGGTGGGCCTGTGCTGTATAAAATGCTGGTCTGGCCTGAGCCAGAGGAAGCCAGAGATCAGCATTCTCCCGTGGTCTCTGCTTCAGTTCCTGCCTCGACTTCCTTCAGTCACGGACTGTTACCTGGTGACAGAGCTGAAACAGACCCCAAGACCCCCAGGTTGTCTTTGGTCATGGTGTTCATCGCAGTGACAGAGGGCAGATCAAGCTTTGGAACCCTGACAGGAAGAAGAAGGAGGGGCTTGCAGGGCCAGGGATCCTTAGAGATGAGGCACACGAGGCTTCCCATGCAGGACTGTAGAGACCTTGAGGTCACCAGTCTAAAGTCATGGCCAAGTTCTCCTTAGGGCCCAGGAGGTGATGGATGGATGGCACAGGCTAGACAATGGATGGATGGCACAGGCTAGACAATGTCTCTGAAAGTGAGACCTTACAGGTCCCTACCAAGGGTTCTTTTTAACTGAAAACATTTTTCATACAGTATATTCTGATCACAGTTTCCCCTTCCTCATCTCCTCCCAGATTCCCACTCTCTCACCCTTTAGGAAACAATCATGCAAAAAAGAGAACAGAATAATAAAAAAGGGGGAAAAGCACACAAAAATGAAACTGAAGCCTGCTGGTGACGCACGCCTTTAATCCCAGCACTCCGGAGGCAGAGGCAGGTGGGTCTCTATGAGTTCGAGGCCAGCCTGGTCTACAGAGTGAGTTCCAGGACAGCCTCCAAAACAATACAGAGAAACCCTGTCTCAAAAAACCAAAAAAAAAAAAAAAAAAAGAAAGAAAGGAAAGAAAAGAAACTGAAACACATACATAGACATGGACACACACGTGCACACACTGCACACACACAGAACTCATAAAACACAAAATTGGAAGCCATAATACACAAGCAAAAGACCGGTAAGATTTAAAAAATGCCCAAACTAATCAATATAATACAAAAAAATCTACAAAAATACCACTGAGTTTGTTTTGTGATGGGCATCTATTGCTGGGCATGGGGCCTGCCCTTAAGGGTAGTTTACATAACCAGTGAGACACCTTTGGAGAAAATTAATTTTCCCTTTACACATTGTCTACTGGAGACAGCATCTTGGTTAGGGATGGGAGCTCACTTGCATTTCCGTTCTCAGCACTGGACACTCCCTCTCACGCCCAAACACACCAAATTTTCTAAACGTGCTGGCTTTGTTTCTTGGGGATTGCCTCTTTGCTGGAGCTGGGCCGTTTGCGCCTGCAGTGCACTGTCCATGGTCCTGAATATGATCTCTGTGCAGAAGCACCAGCCCCTCTTACTGTGTCTATCCTAGCTAGCTAGACTGGGTTCCTCCGAAGGCAAGCACTAGCTCCAGCCAAAGGCTGAACCACACTTACTTCACTAGATGGCAGCAAACGCCCAACTCGTTCTTCCTAAGTGCCCCACCGTGATCCAGGAGAGCTTGGTGCTCCCACTGCCTCTAAGCTGAGGGAGGAGACCCAAGGCAGGGAATGGAGACTTCCTGAAGCCTTGGAGAAAGCCAGGGGTGGTGTCATGTGCTTGTGATCCCAGTGGTGGGAAACCAGATGTAGCCCCGGAGGCTGAAATGATGCCTGGGGCTCATAACCCCCAGGGTGGGGACACATGGAATGTCCAGATAAACCCCATAGACACAGAAGCCTCTCAAACATTTGTCCTCTGTCAACAGTCGTGTCCCGAGGACAAGGCTGGCACACCTTGTCTAACAGCTGGGAACCGATGGCCCTTGACTTCTAGAGCACCCATGCTAATTAGGAGGAGAACCGCACAAGTGTTCACAGGCGATAAAAGAAGTACAATGTAACAAATGCTCTCGGGAAGTGGATGGAAGAAAGCTTCGGGAGAGAGCGACAGCTGGGTGAGCTTGATGGACAGGTAGGGTTTTGACAAGTTGAGGCGGTTTGACAGAGCGTGTGCAGTGGAGGAGACAGCCCCAGCAGCACTGTGGGAGCTAGGATACGCAAGGCAGTTTGAATCGCCCGGCTGACTTGCACACAGAGTGTGGTGAGCGGAGCACAGGCGGCAGGACCTCACGTAGGAACCAGGCTTGTGGAGACAGATGTCCGCAGAGTGCTCATTCTGCATGAGGACGGAAGTTCAGTCCCCAGAACTCATGAGAAGAGGCCACCGTGGTGTGTGGTGCTTGTGAGACCAGTGATGGGGAAGCAGATACGGGGCACCTGGGGTTCACTTGCCAGTCAGCCCACTTGGCAAGTTCCAAGCCAGTGAGAGACTCTTTCTTAAAACATAGGGCAGGTCTGAGTTGTCTTCCAACCTCTACATCCATGCACACCACACATCCATTTGTATACAAACACACTCACTCACACACTCAACTCACACACACACATACTCACACACAGACACACATATACACACACTCCCTCATACACACACATACTCACACATACACTCACACTCATATACACACATACTCACACACATACACACACTCTCACACACATGCATGCACACAGACATACTCACACACACACTCACACAGACATACTCACACACAGACTCACGCACACACGCACGCATGGACTAGACTCAAATACCAGAGCGAGCTATAGCCCTGTTGTCAATGAGGAGGCGTTGAAGGCGCTGGAGCAGTGCAGAGAAAATGCCTGGATCGGGTGGGCAGAGAGGAGGAGAAAGCAGCAGTGACCCCGATCTCAGTGGAGAAGGAACGTTGAGCCGGGGAGGGCACAGGGGTGGCATGGCTGTGGTGCTGGGATCAGCTGGCTACACTAGAAGAAGAGTCTGGGAGGCCCTCAGAGTTGGGGACCCGTATCAAGGCAGACGACAATAGAAGCTCCCACGGTGGGGCCCGAGAGATGGCTCTGGTGACAGCGCCTGAGGGACCGAGTTTGAATCACCACAGTCTGAGAATGGCCCCTCCTTCCTGTAATCCCAGCACCCGGGCAGAAGCAGGGGAGTCCTCAGGGCTTGCTGGCCACTGGCCTGGCTCCAGGCTTGGGGAGAGACCCTGTCAAAAGGGAACACGACAGAGTGATTTCCGCGGGTCTTTAGTTCCCACAAGTGATAGAGCGGGACGCTTGTTTCTTGACACCCTCCTCTGGCCTCTGTACACACATGCACATATGCTGTACACACTAAATAAACAAACACATAAATGATTATCATCTAAGGGGGGAAGCAAACAAACATGTCACCAAGGCAATGCAGATATGGAGATCCAGGTTTTGTTCCTTTCCTTTTGTTTTTACGATTAGAGAGGAAGAACCCTCCCCCCCCCCCCCGAGTTGATTTTGTTTGGTTAAAGACGCCGGGTCATAGGTGTGTCTGGCTCTCTCTAGTCCGGCATGGAAATATAGGGTCAGGTGTGGGCAGGATTTCTCTGCATGGGGTCATGCCTGAAACCCCGGGAGCAGCTGATATCATGGCAGAGAGCGTGGTCAGATGCGGGAGGCAGGACCTGGTGAGGTGGGGTGAGCCTAGCTCAGGGTGTAGGCTGGCTGCTGGACGTCAGTACCACAACCGACTGTGTGAACTTAGAGCTCACAGTCGACAAGATGAGCACCAGATCTCCGTGCTCCCAGCCCCCCACCAAGCACCACGAGCTGCGTTGTTCTTATGCCTGAGTGCTTCGTGGGGGCAAGGATAATCATTTGCCTTACACACAGCCAGGCTCAGGAGCCAGCTATGCCAGGAACAGTCCTGGGATGTCAGCCTCAAGCACCCTGGGCCTTAGGAAAAGTTCAAGTCCCATGCACTCTCCCTGTTGATGGAGGAGGAGGAGAGAGAGCTCAGGTAGTCTGTTGCCTGGCAACCACGTAGAACCTCTGGGGTCATTCAGTGGGCAATCCTGTCCCTCACATACAAGGAGCAATCAAAGCAGCAGCGAGAAGAGAGAGCTAACATTTACTGAGAGCTTGTTCCAGGCCAGGTGGGCACGCCACCCGACACCTCGCTGGGCTTTCTCCAAAGCTCCATTGGGTAGACATTGGTTTCGGTCTCCAGATGAGGAGACTGAGGCATGGAAAATCAACGAGAGACTTACCCAAGGCCACATCGGACTCCGGGCCGTACTCTCTCAATCTTTACAAGGCAGAAAGGAGGGGAGTGGGCGAAGCTGAGGGGGAGAGGTGGGAGGGGCGGGGGGGTGGGGATGGGGAGCAGGGGACTGGGAGGTGGGGGGATGCGGGTGGGGGTTGGTGCGGGGAGGGGGTGTGGCATCTTCCTCCTAGTCCCTGGGAGCTTCTGCCATCCATTTCTTCTCTTGGAAACAGGATGCTTGTCTACAAAGTCATTTTTTTTTTAAATAAGCAACATGGAAGTGTACACTGCAGGCCCAGGCTGGTCTAA